ATGTTAATTTAGTTATTAATTCTTAAATTCGAACTAATTACTAAGTATTAATTAATTAAAACTTAGCTTAAGTGTGATAAAAGCATAAAAACTACTTACAACTGGTGCGCTACCAGATCGAGTTTCGTAACGGAAATTAATAAGTAGATCGACCAACTAATTTATCGCGGCCTTAGATTTTGTACTAAAACATTGACAATGAGGATCCTCTGCATGACGATTTCATGCTTCAATTAAAATGGATTGTATACCGAACACGTTTAATTTTCCGGTGGAAAACTGCAAATGACAGCGCGTGTGCGGATTGGCGCTGGCAGGATTAAAGCGTCTGTCACGCAGCAGCCTATTATCTACTGGAGCGATGGCGCTTATAATCGCATACAGCTTAAATTTTGGATAGTCTACCTAACTACTTACTACACACAATGATTATTATTTATTAATTAAATTAAATTGTTTCCAAAGATATACAGTGATTTCGTGCGCTGAAAATATTTTTGAGCCGTTTCAGACGCCATAACGACTCATTAAGGTTCTACTTGTAACCCACAAGAAAGTCTGAAAATATGACTTTATAACTTGCCTTTGACTTACAAAACACATCTGAATTTAGCAATCCCATTGCAGCTCACTGAAAGAACCCAAATCCAAGATACCCAAANATCCAAGATACCCAACGCCTTATTTTCACTCGACTCGGCTTGCGATTTATCAAAGGTTTAGTTTGACAGCGAGCGAGTTTATATCACGGTTGAATAATTCGTAATGCCTTGGTGGCTTGACTACGCGAAATGTTATCGAGATAATTGATAAAGCGTTTATTCACCATGTTTAACATCTCAGGGCGGGAAGTGTACTTAATAGATATCTAAGATCTGAACGAACTTTTTCAACTATAGATAGTGTTTTTCAGTCTTCGATGAATTGACGTTTTTCATCGGCATGAGCTTAAAACTTAAAAATAATAAAACTGAAAGAAATAGTTTCAGAGAAAAACTGAAATTTCAGTTTCAGTTGAATCCTTGCTAGTTATTACATCGAAATTATTTTACAGACGAGTCCCCTGTAATGTAATGAGTTGGAGCGCAGAGATCGCAGATCCAGCTCAAAATCCGCATCGACCGCCCCAGATATATCTACGGTTAGGATATTGTAATTTTCTTGCTAGGTAGATTTTTTCAAATGTAATTTAGTAAATTAGCTTTACTGTCACAGAATACTGAAATAATATTTATACGTCGCCGAGCAGCCAAACGCCATTAATCCAATCAGAATTATGAAAAGAATTCCTGAAACTTTCTAGGGAATTTAACTTAATTTTATAGAAATCAACCTAGGTATTTAAAGTTTTAAACAGAATGCTATTCTCGTAGAACTAGGTACGTACTTAGTTAGGGTACCTACTCAAACTAAGCACTACGAAGTAATCACAAGACGAATCAAAGTGGGGGCGGTCGCGGCGATATTTACCCATTGAAACTTACATCAGCCGACAGCGCCTGGCAATTAAGACCGCAGATGGTACTTTAACTAGTCTTGTGCATTAACATCTCTTCTTACAAACTAGCGACTGCACGCAGGCGTGGTGCTAATGGCGTCAACTTTAAACAAACTTTCAAATTACTTATCGTTTGTTGAGTAAACCTTTGCATTTTCTAATCGGGTATTAAGTTTAGTAATATGTAGTTGGAATGCGCAATGAAACATGTAAGGATATAAAACTAAGATTCGATCTCAGGATTCCCAAGTTCAGATTCATAGCATGACTTATTAATTCGACGAGTTCAAGCAACAAAGACGGGGATTAAGACCTATGGGGCTGTGGGTAAGGCAATACCAAAACTATGAAATGAAACTGTAAAATTAAACGTTGAGTCCAGTTCAAACATTCCCCGAGTAGCTAAATACAAAAAATCCTATTTCGCCAAGAGGATTCAGTCCATCAAAGACGAAACTATGGTCCGATACCGAACCGACAAAATTGTTCGGCTTCTAATTGCAAATTGTAGGTAAGCCTCTTTGTAAACTGAAACTTTATTGGGTCTGTAGCTCCGTAGGTAGATTGATGTGAGTATGGTGAGCCATCATGCCTCCGAATGTCAGCTTAGCGTGTCTGGTTCTTGAGTCCAAATTGCTGTGAAACGTAAGCCTTACAATAATTAGATTAGGCGGTCAGGCAGCGACCTGTGCCCAACGCCCTCGGCCAATTAGTACTTGTCCTGCTTTGTTGCCTTAATTAATCAACATTGTGCGACCGAGAGGTTCTCGAGATTCGCTCGCGCCGAGATCTCTTCACAGAACTTGTTAGCTCACGCGACATTGTATTACTTCAAGAGCCACAAACTAAGTTATCAAAACGCCTTGCAACTTTTACCATGGTTTGATTAGTGGTAAGGAAAGTAATAATTACCTTATCCACTTCTATAATATCGCCAACAGTAGTTAATTGGGGAAAATCTATTGATTCAGTGGTTTGCAATTTGGAAGAACCTTTGCCACAAAATAGAATACTTAAAGCTATCCATAACCTTAGTTTTCTATCAACATAAAAAACTAAGTACCTACTTTGGTAGGCACCGATTTCGTAATTCGGGATTATCCAGAACATAAAACCTGAAATACTTGCCTAAATTTCAGACATTTCAGATGAATGATGGAGTGTAATAAAATTCTGGCAAATAAGTAAATAGCTACGAGTTGCTAGTCGTAAATTGATTTTATGTTAAAGCTACAGTGGTCGTTCATTACCTACTCGATTACGTAACTTGGGACCAAAAAATGTAAGCTATTCGTACTACTAAGACAAAATACCCAAGCTGTTAAGGACTTCGTAAAATTATGCCCGAGTTGAACCTTGCGGATTAATTTCGGTCGCTTCGCTTTTGAAAGAGCAGTGTTCTAAGTAAATTTTCCGTTCATTAGATGACTCAACGAAGTGGAAATGTGGGCCCCGAAACCTTTTTAGTAGAAATTCCTCATTAATTATAAGAAGGTTTACGTGCTTGTTGTAGATTTCTATGTAAGTAACTAATAATATAATAGATCTTCTGTGGATTTTCAGCTCAACTTCAAAAAATATTAATATTTTTCCTTCCTAGTTAACACAATTGGTTTACGATTCAAATACAAACTCCATTGCTGCTCGATAAATTAGTGATAAAGCCAACAAAGCCATTGAATCGAATCGACTAAGTATTCACGTACTGTGCTACGAGCTTCTAATTTGGGGCTACTGTTTCGCCGGAGTGGGTTCGTTGGAGTGGCATTATCACCAGCCATAGGCCGCCGCCGACTCGACACTGATTTATTCACACCCTCTGTTCGTTACGTTGCTTTCAAACTGAGAATTTTCATCGCCTCCACATTTAAAAGCTTTGAACCCGTGCTCCCAAGGAGAATTTCTTTCACAACAAGCGACGCGCACAAATGAAGGGCAGCCCAATTTAAGCTACCTACGTAAAAGGGTGAATACATAATAGATTTCTACTTGCCTTGCAAATGTATCTTTTGGAAATGCTAGAAAAACCATTGGCTACACAACTGTCCTGTTTGACCAGAAGTGGTAAATTCCCTGATTTCTAAAGAGATCCAAACCTCACAATCTAAGTTACATGGAAAGTCTGCAGACAAGTAGGTCATGTCAGTAAATAGGTCTCGATGAACGGCGGAGTAGTTTAGAACAAAGTGGTCGCCGACCTCCGGCGACTGGGAGGGACAACGCGAACACCACTCCCAACTAAGTAGGTAATAAGCTATTTACTGGTAAATCTCTGTAGGATATTGTAAAGCTCAAACGACCTAGTTCTAAAAGAAATTAAGAAAGTTAAAACTGTGACTTAATAAAAACTACTGCACGTGCTCAAATATTGGATTCAGTTGGATGAAAGAGAAAATCGACACTTTCGATACTCATTGCTGGAAGCCTCCCAAAAGGCGTTATGTAACGCAAAGTTCCTCTGTCTGCGCCTACCGCTTTGCAACTGTTGAGTTATAAACAACTTCCAAAACACTTTAAAGGCTACAACTTTTAATTAACGGAAGTTCTACAATCCACAAAAGCATTAGCGTAATGAATTATCTTCCCTTTGAAATCGAAAACTCGAGTTTGAAATCGGGCCTCTTACAAATAAATTGATGGTGAGGAAAAAATCGACGAGCTAATGGAAATCGATAAGCGAGAATTGAAAAGTGGAAGGTTAGAGAGAAGTAATTCAGCAAGCAAGCCGTACGCCTGTTGGGAAATGGGTAGGAAATTAAATTTCACGAGGGCGGCCGGCCGACCGCGCCAACACTTGATTCGCGTTATGTCATTGCGGACTGTTGACATTGTGGATCGGAAACAAATAAGTAAATTCTTTTCCTTGCGAACTCCAGAGGCCTAATTTCAGTTTATTTAACAAGACTGTGTCTGTGTGGAACTATTCCTCCCCATCATTTACACTTCGATTAACAACCATGTCGTTCTGTCAGATCTTTTGTAATATGTATTTTAGGAAATTCTGGGGGTTGAGCTTTAGCCACCATAAACTCGTAGGAAGACACAATTAGCACATTTTTTTTTTTACACAATTTTGGAATAAAGTGAGTGGATTTATATCGATGATATTTTCTTTCATGCAACTTATGAGGATGAGCTAGTAGTAGCCAAGCCAGCCGATACTGAGCAGACTTGATTGCGATGAGCGTGAAACGTAACGAGCTGTCGTCGGCATGCTGCTCCTGCTTATCTAAATTGAATCGCCTGGTCCTAGTGCGGAAAACTGCATCAACAGTATATTCGCGGATTTTGTAATTACCTACTTTATTTATAGTCATGAGAAGTAATCTCTGTAATTAATAAGTGGACTTGATTTTAACTTGAAAATTTAATTGATTTAAAATTAAATCGGTGCCGACTTTTACGGTACGGTGTACGGTTTCTATAGATGCGACGATTTAAACAAGTTTCTAAAGGGAAATGAAATGGGATGTGTTGTATATTTGTAACAATAACAATCAAGTAACTGTGATAAGAACTTTTATTTGTTATAAATAAATTGACGATTATAATAAATCTGTTAATAGCATGACACCTACATTAAGTATTTTCATTAGATAGCATTAGCATTGTGCAGTTGTCTTACAGCAAGGCAACTTTATTAGGGCTTATAATTTGATATTTTGATATCACAGCACAGTCTAACCTTAATTGTTTCAAGAGTTGTAAATATCAGTAACAAGTCCAGCTGCAATCGTAACTCCAGAAACTCTCAACATTACTCGTCCAAGTTCTTTCACGTCTTTGTAACGCTCTACACATATCGGTCGACAAACTTCGATATCTACGACAGCTACAGAGTTATTCCCTAAACATCTAGGTTTTTTCTTCAGCAGCTCTCCAGTGCTCTTATTTAGCAATGCCTTCAATTTGACTATGTTTGCAGACTCTACTAAGGATTGATGGTGTATCAAAACTGGATAACCCTTTGTAATAGGAACCTTTACATTAAATACCACAAGTCTAGCTTCAAATCGCGATGTTACTGGTACTGGCTGAATGGGGTCACTAAGAATAAATCCAACTGATATATTTTGCATGTCCACTCCTGATAATGTTACACTCACTTGGTCTCCAGCAAAAGCCACATTACTGGACATTTCATTGATGCTTATACCACGAACTTCTGCCATTTCCTTCATTGGACATACTAACACCTTGTCTCCTTTATTGAGTACTCCATTCTCAATACGCCCAGCAACACAAAATCCGGAGCCAGTGCCTTTAAAAACGTCATTGATGGACATCCTCAGAGGCTTTGACACTGGCCTTTCTGGCACATTAAATTTGTCAACTACATCTAGAAGGTAAGGCCCATTGTACCACTTTACCAGTTCAGGTTCAGTTGCTGGCTTAATTAGGTTCTCTCCTGTTAATCCAGAGCAAGGCACAAATGTGACATCAGAATCCTTATATCCAGCTTGTTTCAAAAATGCTTTGAGCTTTTTGGTGATTTCATTGAACCTCTCTTGAGACCAGTTTGTGGTATCTAATTTGTTCACAGCAACAGCCAGTTGATTGACTCCAAGGGAACGGACAAGAAGCGCATGTTCCCTTGTCTGACCACCGAGTTCAAATCCCGATTCAAACTCACCTCTAGTAGCATCCACCACCAACAAGGCTACATCTGCCTGGCCCGCTCCAGTTATCATGTTTGGGATAAAATCAGCATGCCCAGGGGCATCAAGGATAATGACTTTCTTTGTTTTTGTCTCAAACTGTGCTCTTCCAACATCCATGGTGATCCCCCTAACTCTCTCTTCTCCGGTTTCATCCAAAACCCAAGCATACATGAAACTTTGTTTGCCAATCTTCTTGCTTTCTTGTTCATACTTGTGCAATGTCCTCTGGCTCACCTCACCCAGATCACAAAGCAAGCGCCCCATGAGTGTTGACTTGCCAGCATCAACATGGCCTATCACTACAATGTACAGATGATCTTTGTCAGAGCCACGTTCTTCTGTGTACTGCTTATTTGGATCAATTTTGTTTTCCTTTACTTTAATATTGGGAGTTTTGTACTCATCGTCCAACTTTGGAGTGGCCACTCTCTCAGGTATTGGTGACTGATCTCTCGGGGACTGGGAACTGCTTGAACTTCCATCCTTAGATGAGACCTTAAATCCTTTAACAACACCTATGGCTTTAGGTTCTAAATTAGTTGCAATCACTTTAGGAGCTTTCTGTGCTGTTGATACTATGTCTTTTGCTGCGTCAATAAGAACAGTCGGTATTTGCTTCGCGGGTTCTTCTTTTGGTCGATCGCAGTCTTTACTCTGCTTATTGTTGAGTATTTCATCTAAAGCTTTATTGAAATCGAACTTGTGATTGAGTACAGATTGTATGAGGGTATTATCAGGTATGCTGTCACCTAGAACATTTCGAAGCTCATCTAAGCACGACATCAAGCGAGCCTCGTCTTCCTCGCTAAGGTTGAGACTGCGAAGATCCACCGAGTCGCGGCGCTCCAGCCCCGGGTGTGCTGCATCGAACACCTCGTCCTCGGCCTCCTCTTGAATATCATTGTGGCTGTCTAAGAAAGCAGATATGGCTTGTTGATTCCTAGAACGGTCGTACATCCACTGTTCAGTATCGCTCGGAGACAAACAGCTTTCATCCTCTACGGAATGCCCGTAGAGATCGTCATAATCGTAATCGTCGGAATAACTTCTATTACGCACATTGCGATGGCGTGCCATTTTTGTTAGTTACTTTAACCACTATGTAATCGGACACATTTTTAGTAGTATCACACGTTTTACGTTTTCCAAATTTCGTCGTACGTTTTTGACGTTTTTGATGACAAACAACACGATGAGGATGACAGTTATTTACTTAATTCGTTTAGGAACAAAACAGCGGACCGGTTTGTTTTGTAACTCTATCAGTTTTTTAAAAGCGGTTTTAATTAAGTAATTAGCAAATAAAAGAAAGCGTTAAAATTATGTGAAGTTAAAAGTAAAAATAGTAACGAATTTGGTTTTCTCAATTCAATTACTATTTTTTTATTTCTAAACGATTTTGAGCTGACATTTCCAAAGATATTACAAACATAGATTATGCAACATATCAAAATAAAAAAAAATGTTTACAAGCATTTTTGAATGTTGAGATCTTTTTTTGTGTAGAGCAAATCACGTGCTGGAGACCCGGCTTTAGCTTAGCAAGAACATCAGAGCCCCGATTACGGTAATTTTTAACGTCAACAATCCAGACACGCTTCTCGATTCTGCGATACGATTGGTCGTTCAACAGCGTACGTTAGCTGTTTTGACCAATCGTATCGCAGAATCAGAAACGCGTCTGGATTGTAGACGTTAAAAGTTACCGTAATCGGGGCTCAGTGCAGGCAGCGTATATAGACATAGAATTCTTTGCTTGTGCTCCTCAATCTCGTTGCGCGACACAATCTGAGCCCCGATTACGGTAACTTTTAACGTCTACAATCCAGACGCGTTTCTGATTCTGCAATACGATTGGTCAAAACAGCTGACGTACGCTGTTGAACGACCAATCGTATCGCAGAATCGAGAAGCGTGTCTGGATTGTTCACGTTAAAAATTACCGTAATCGGGGCTCAGATTTCTATTGTTAACATGCGCTGCGCTATCTCTTAAGTTTAATATCTCGGCTACACTAAGAGCCAAACGTCAAAATCAGTGAAATGTCAAAATATCTTTGTGTGAGGTAAGGTGAGACATGGATTTACGCCTACATTTCTCTTTTATTTTGAATTTAATACAAACGAAGTACGAACAACTTTTAAAGTGTTACAAGTTACCTACTATTGTTACAGATTAATAAGTGCTCTGCAAGTACCTTTAAAAACTGTGCCAATAAATCTAAACAAAGTGAAACATCTTGAAGTTATAAACCCTTGACCCAGTACAACTTTGTCAACATGAAGAAGAAGGTACGTATTTTAGATAAGCAGGCATTTGCGATATGTTTTGTCATTATTTAATTGTATTAAATTAAAGAAAAACACAGAAGAAAAGATAAGGAAGAAGCTCAAACATTTTGTGTATTTTAGGTGCTGTTGATGGGGAAAAGTGGGTCTGGTAAAACCAGTATGAGGTCCATAATATTTGCAAATTATATTGCAAGAGATACCAGACGATTGGGAGCCACAAGTGAGTATATTCAGGTTATTATTGGCCTCCATTTTGGCTGCAATTGTTTTTCAAAATGTCTTTCAACCAATCTTATTATTTGCAGTTGATGTAGAGCATTCACATGTGAGGTTCCTTGGAAACCTTGTCCTGAACCTTTGGGACTGCGGAGGGCAAGAGGCATTCATGGAGAACTACTTTGCGTCACAAAGAGACAACATCTTCCGAAATGTAGAAGTATTAATATATGTATTTGATGTTGAAAGTAGGGAGATGGAGAAAGATATGCACTATTACCAGTCATGTTTAGAAGCTATACTACAGGTATGTTATGTTCTAGCAATATGAAAAAGATTTTTGTGTACTGTGAAATACAGTAAGTCTAAGTAATGAAAATACTTTCCTTTTTTACTTCCTAACTCAATTCAATATATTTCTTCCCAATGTAAGTTCTATTGCTTGATTTTTCAGAACTCCCCAGAAGCCAGAATATTCTGTCTGGTGCACAAAATGGATTTGGTGTCTGAGGAGCAGCGAGATGAGATATTCAGAGAGAGGGAAGAGGAACTCAAGATGCTGTCCAAGCCTTTAGAATGCACATGCTTTAGAACTAGTATATGGGATGAGACTCTATACAAGTGAGTAGTCTATGTTAGTCAAGTTAAGCGCTAACTAAGTTAACTGAGTCAAGTGTCTGAGGCATAGGAGCGGCATGGGAGCATGGTTTTTTGTTACATCAAATGTCAGTGACACTTCAGATGCTCTGTCATGTCATAATCACCCCACCTGTGGCACTCCCATACCTGTCATTGACTCAGTAAGGTGCAAGACCTTTAGTTAATATTGTTATACAATAGAAAGATGCAGTATACCACAGACAATAGCACCTCAAACTAAAGACGCATGTTATGGATTTATAATAGGTGCTATTTAGCAACAAAAGAAAATAAAAAAATATTTATTACTCTTCTCAATTCAGGTACACAAATACAATAGAAATTAAGCCAAAGATTTGTAAACTAAAGTGCAAGGGGCTGGTGCCTGAAATAGGTTTTAAAAGGGAAAACTGCTAGGAGTCAAAAATGTATTGACTGTATGAAGTTTCATTCATTCTCTGGCATTCATTATCAAGTTATGTATTCCATGATTCAAACATGACTCACACTGTTGTGTCTGCTCTCTGAACAGGAAAGTTATAAGTGCAAACAGTTTTGAATAACAATAACACAATCAGCTACATTCAACTTACTCTCTTTTATTATACTGTACAATGTTCATGAATATGTCCCTTCAACATTTAAACTTGGTAAATAAGTTTTCCAACTAGACAGTGACTTGCATTTTCTGATTTATTTTCAAAAAGACCACTATTATGCCGATAACAAAACTCAAGACACAAATAACCATCCAATCTTGAAGTATTTTAATTAAAGAAAGTTAATTATCATAATGGGCTGCGAGCTATCAGTTTATTTACTGTTAGATGAAACGGTTGCATACAATGTATACTCAAGTTCACATTCCAGTGAGTGATTCCACAAACCTATTTATAAATATGGTCCGATAGTGTCTTTATATCACTGTGCATACAACAAACTATATAATGTCATTTTAATATTTAAATTATTGTTTCCAGGGCGTGGTCGAGTATAGTGTATAAATTAATACCTAATGTTAAGGCTCTAGAATCTTCACTGAAACAGTTTGCTGCAATTGTGGATGCAGATGAGGTTAGTTATATTATGTACATATTAATTATTTGCTGTTAGTTTAAATAGTCTAATACATTACTGTCATTACAAGACTGACAAATTAAAACTATATTATTTCTGAGCGTCATGTAATAAATTTTCATTAAATTCTCAAACAATAATTCTTGAGACTAATAAGTCATTCGTCAATTGTGAATGCACATTGCACACATGTTAGTTAATGAAATAGTCATATTAACACTTAGCAATGATATGAAAGAATAACCAGTAGTCAAGCATTTGTAATAATAAAGCTATTAAATTAGTTATGAATATTCTTATTAGAATAATAGCTATGATTTACAGCCTTAGGGCACGAATAATTCTCAAAAATAAAGGTTCTGATAACTTTCTCCCTTGGACGAATCTTTCTCCTCAATATTTAAGTAATCATAGATTAGAAACATTGATAATCCAATTTATGACAAGGCAGCATGGTTTTTGACCTTAGCCTGTTCCAGTAGGAAATTGAAAAAAAAACATTCGAAATTCAAATCTTTTATCACTGGCTACGTATGAAAAAGAAAAAAAATACGTTCGAAATTCAAATAATTATCATTGGCCTCATAGAAAAAAAAATTGTCGTTCCAAATTCAAATCGCATTCCAATCTACTAGGTGCTACTGTTCGAGCGCGCGACTTTCCTCGTGGTGTCGCACTGCCAGCGGCGGCCGCACCGCGACGCGCATCGCTTCGAGAAGGTGTCCAACATCGTGAAACAGTTCAAGCTGTCCTGCTCCAAGCTCGCCGCGCAGTTCCAGAGCATGGAGGTGACGTCACGATCTAATAAACTTATTTATACTCCCGAATGAAAGTAAAGACTTGAGTGACATGAATGCTGGCACCAGTCTACAGGGTGTGTATCAGAAAGAAGAGCAGAGATTCGTGAAGAAATAATACGAACAAACTTACTTGAACTGTATGTATTAATGATAGGTGATAGCATTAATTTGTTTTTGGTCATATTTATTTATTAGGTACACCAACAAAGTCATACATAATACAGTTCATACATTTTAACATGGTTTAACACATGATGTGTGTATGACCTCAATTATAGGTATACACAGCATTTCTTTTTGCAATGTTAGGGTAATATGTAGGTATACACCCGGATGAATGCAAATTAGACTGAAACTACGCACGACGATGTTCAAATTCATAGGATTCAAGCCTGTGATTGGTCTAAATATCTAAATTTGTTTTGAATAGATCTAATTTACGAATCAAACTGCTTCAGAAGGCATATATCATCCAATCATAAGTATGTCGGATACGTCTTTGGCGATTAGTCTTATGAACTACATATTATTATTTGAATATCAGTTTAATGTGAACGTTTTGTAAAACTTTATTCAACGCGCGTGTAACTAGTTATAGAGGCATAATATTTGTATATTATGCCTGAAATATTCGAAAAAAAAACATGTTTTACTCATTTATAGAGATAGGCAACATAATAGGCTCTGATAACCGAGGCAGATAAGTGCGGCGTATCACGCCCCCGATCTATTTTTTACTATCGTTGCGTCAATAACAAAAGTCTAAAACGACGTAATGATTATTTAATGCCTTTACTGTATAGTAAAAATAATGTTAAGTATGATTTACGCATTGGAATTCATTAAAGGGTTGTAGAATTTACGAAGAATGCTAGAAGCGAAATGTTTCAATAAGTCTGCATTGAACTAAGGAAAAACGCCTTGGTAAGACGGCATTCTCATTAGGGCGTCAGAAGCGCAGCAGCAGCGTTTTTATAATGTGAAGGCAGGCATTCGCTTTCTTACAGTATGAAATTATCGGCAGCACAAATGTCGTGCGTTTGTCGCGCTGCTGAAGTCGCCTAAATGTGAAAGTCCTCTAAAATTAAAGAATCGCTGCTTTATGTTTTTCGAAACTAAACCGGTCGCTTCTATCACTTTGTCTAAGCCCACTGGACCTAAAGAAAGCTATATCTCTTCCAGGTCCGCAACAGCGTGTTCGCAGCGTTCATAGACGGGTTCACGAGCAACACCTACGTCATGGTGGAGATGTCTGACCCCAAGATCCCATCCGAAGCCACGCTCATCAACATCAGAAACGCGCGCAAACACTTCGAGAAACTCGAGAAGGTATCCAGCGCGCCGCAGTATCAATGAAGCAATAGCAACTAGTTCGGAATAGCTAATGGTACTCGCTATAATCGTTAGGCCACTTGCATTTTGAGTTCCGCCTATATACCTAAAGGACTTGATTATAAAAGGACTTGATACTTGTTGGCGACAAATCAGTGCCCTGATTGCTAATTTTTAACGTCTCCAATTCATTGGCGCTTCTACACTAATTGCGCTCCGTTTTTCATTCCAGCTGAGATGCAAATACGGTATCGCAGTAAAGTTCACACTTCACGCGCAAACAAAGACGAAACAACGGATTTTATCACTTTCCAATAAAAGTCCAAACATCTTATTTTTTCACTAAAACACAGCAAATGTTCGTGAAGGCGTTTGACTTGAATTTGAGAAAAGTAGCTTTCTTTTAGCTTTTACACAAAGAAGCAGTTGCGTTTTGTTTTCGTTTGAACTAGCTGTCATAGTGATACTTCGATACGAATTTGTGATTTTCGCGTTGTAGTTGAAAATATTTAGCGCAATCGGGGCCCTGGTAACACCGGTGCTAGGACTCTATCCTAGCGCCGGTGTTACCAAGATCTGTGGCCAAAAATACTAGACCCAAAACATTACATTTAGGTACAAAATTAGGTAATGTACCAAAGGGTTAATCACAGGTTCTGATTTAACCTGTTAGTCGTTTGACTATGTGACTGTATGAGACAACTGTAATATATGCATTTTAAACTTGTGAGATATCTAATTTATGTTGTGCATTATATGAAAATAAAATGTATATTTTACAGTCCCTTTCATATAGACTCAGAGGCTCATGCACATTTTCACCCTCAATTCCTAATTTTTTAATGACCTCTATGGTAACACATAACAGGAATTTTGTTTTCATAGGGGTCACTTAAAAATTAGGGATTATTCATTCACCATAGTTATGAAGATATATCAACCGAATGTAATTTTTGTTAACGATTTGTAATTTTAATTCGTTTTATGACATAGAGTAAGAAACGGCATAAAATTCACGAATAATATAAGAAATAAACAAAACTCCATCATGAAAGGTGGCATAACGATTAAAAGCGACGATGTTACATCGGAACGTGCTAAGCACAATACTTGCCAAAGCAAGACTTTTGAGCCCACTTGAATACAGATTAACGCGTCTAGGATCATGCGCAGACACGCACAACATAAGGTGAACTGTCTCGGCATATTCTTCAAAGTATTTCAAATATCAAAATATCTTTCTATGAGGTACAGTCAGCGTCAAATAGTTCGTGACACCCAAAGTAGCTAAAAAATTCGCAACACTTCTTTGTTACAATGAGGATTTTCGCGATTGAAAAATCCGCCAGATGGCAATACGTAGACGCGAGGTCCAATAATGCTGCCTGATTGATTATTTTTGACATGACATTAATTAAACAGATATGTCAAAATCCACCAATCATGCACCAATCATCTCGCGTCTACGTATTGCCATCTGGCGGATTTTTTAATCGCGAAAACCCTCATTAGAATAAGGTTGCGTTGTCAACTTTTTGTCCACTTTGAATGCCACGAACTATTTGACACTGACCGTACATCGTGTAAAACCGTTTCATTTAGAAATAACAAAACATAATCACAACTAAGCAATACTTGTACAAAAAGAAAAATAACAATATAATAAACTAAATGCTATAATATGTGACTGAGAATATAATTACAGTGACATACCACATTATTCAACTGATTATGATTGTACAAGTAAATATGTGATTGTTAAGTTAATTAATGTTTTGTTTATTTCTACATGTACGCTTAGAATGCCGAATATTGTTAGAAAATCATGGATATGCAGGAGATTCTAAGCAATAAATACCACAGTTGCCTTAATCATCCTTTGAACATTCCAAGTACTTATTTCACGTTTCAATCGAAACTTTCGAATCTGTATTCAATGTCGTGGTTATTCTTAAATTTACGCTCATAGTAGTTAAAGTCTATTATTTGTTCATTAAAATAAAAAAAAGTTTTCTTATGTTTTCTGTTGGTTTGATTATTTCTAAATTTTATAGAGTTTATACTACTATGACATATAGACAATAGTTAATGACAATTTATACGGGCTTTAATATAAATAATATGTATATGTCACCGGTTAAATCCGATCTTTGGATTACTTTAACTACTAAAGTAAATTCAAAATGAATTGCTGTAATCCTGAAAATGTCTACTACTCTTAGCTTGCTACTCGCTGGTTGATCCAATTACAAATTCTAGTTACTTAAACAAAACTTCCTTTTGTCCTGAAATCGGGTATAGCCGGTATTTTATGTACCTATAGACGATATCACAGGTGATGTTATAAAATAAGTGTCATCTTTTTATTTACTCAAGGCTCTTAACTCTCAGAGTTACATATTTGTTTCAATATAATCGCAATAACCCTCCTTCTGGCGCAGTCGGGTAAAAATACGCCTTTTGTTGTTAATGTCCATAATACTCCTAATATTTATATTCATTATTGTATTTCACAATTCAAATTTGTTTATGCTGAAACATATTTCTCACTAATTCTTTCTCAGAAAATAAATGTTTTAATTTTAGTTAATGGTGATTATTTATTTCGGATTATTGTTTTGGAGTGGGACCACAGAATAATAATAAGTACTGTGGGACCCAGAGTTACTATTCATAATATTATCTCATCTTAACAAGATAAGTAAGTTCATAGGAACTATAGACTTCGATCGTAGTCTGGTGCTCCTAATTTAACCAGTTAAAAATATTCAGGTTTATTAGTTTGTCACATCTATAAATATGATCGCTGAGCAATGTCACGGGTTGCTCAATCTTCTACGTAATAGCAGTCTGCCGCACGTGATAATGAGTTCAAGGACCAACATTATTTTGAAGTCGATTAGCATTAGACTTTACCGAAAGTAGGTATACATTTCACAAATAATGTCTGTATTTTGAACTGTCTATCGTACCCGCATGCTGAGAGATAGGTAGGTACTCAGCGTTAGCAACAGGAAGATGCACAGTCTCTATGGATTAATAAATAGAACGTTAATGTGTACGACCTGCGAACATTCCATGCTAGGGACGAGTATGGTATGCCTCGTAAATAGAAAATGCCCTTGCAGTTCCATTCAGGGGAGTGGTCACATTCGAGTAGATACTAAACTACGTCATGTCATCAATTAAACAGCACTATCAATTTTATTATACTGTATTGTTGNGAATGTAGCTAGTTTAGAAGGACCCTGTATATCAAAGTTGATATATATCGGATATATATCATAAATATCCGATATTTTGATATTTATAATAAATATCGGATATTTTCGAACCCTGCTCAAGACACAAAGAACCATCCAATCTTGAAGTATTTTAATTAAAGAAAGTTAATTATCATAATGAGCTGCAAGCTATCAGTTTATTTACTGTTAGATGAAACGGTTGCATACATTGTATACTCAAGTTCACATTCCAGTGAGTGATTCCACAAACCTATTTATAAATATGGTCCGATAGTGTCTTTATATCACTGTGCATACAATAAACTATACTATGTCTTTTTAATATTTAAATTATTGTTTCCAGGGCGTGGTCGAGTATAGTGTATAAGTTAATACCTAATGTTAAGGCTCTAGAATCTTCACTGAAACAGTTTGCTGCAATTGTGGATGCAGATGAGGTTAGTTATATTATGTACATATTAATTGATTATTTGCTGTTAGTTTAAATAGTCTAATACATTACTGTCATTACAAGACTGACAAATTAAAGCTATATTATTTCTGAGCGTCATGTAATAATTATTTTCATTAAATTCTCAAACAATATAGAAATAAATAAATTATTATTATTATTATTATAATAATTCTTGAGACTAAGAGTGATTCGTCAAATTATTGTGAATGCACATTGCACACACGTTAGTTAATGAAATAGTCATATTAACACTTAGCAATGATATGAAAGAACAACCAGTAGCCAAGCATTTGTAATAATAAAGCAATAAAATTAGTTATGAATATTCTTATTGGAATAATAGCGCTGATTTACAGCCTTATGCAGGAATAATTCTCAAAAATGGTTCTGATAACTCATCCAATACCAAAGCAGTCATAGATTGATAATTTTATTCCAATTTACTATGAGTAGGCAGCATGTTTTTTGACCTTAGCCTGTACAGTATGAACGAATAAAAAAAATACGTTCCAAATCCAAATCATATCATTGGCCACATTTGAAAAAGAAAAAAAATTACGTTCGAAATTCAAATACTTTATGATTGGCCTCATAAAAAAGAAAAAATTTGTCGTTCCAAATTCAAATCACATTCCAATCTGACAGGTGCTACTGTTCGAGCGCGCGACTTTCCTCGTGGTGTCGCACTGCCAGCGGCGGCCGCACCGCGACGCGCATCGCTTCGAGAAGGTCTCCAACATCGTGAAACAGTTCAAGCTGTCCTGCTCCAAGCTTGCCGCGCAGTTCCAGAGCATGGAGGTGACGTCACGATCTTATAAACTTATTTATACTGCCGAATGAAAGTAAAGACCTTGAGTTGGCCCATTTCATGAATGCTGGCACCAGTCTACAGTATGTATGACAGAGGTGACAGAAAAAAGATTCGTGAAGGATTCGTTAATAATACGAACTTACTTGAATTGTATGTATTATTATGCTAGGTGATAGCACTTATGTTTTTGGTCATATAATGTAGGTATACACCCGAATGAATGGAAATTAGAATTAAACGACGCATGACGATGTTTAAATTCAGATGGAAGACAAGCCTATAGATCAATCGATCTAAGTATCTAGATTTGTTTTGAATAGATCTAATTTACGAATCAAACTGTGCTTCCGAAAGCCGAAGCATAATTATATCATCCAATCATAAGTATGTCGGATACGTCTTTGGCGATTAACTTATGAACTAACTACATATCTGAATATCAGTTTACAGTAGACGTTTTGTAAAACTGTGTTCAACGCGCGTGTAACTATTTATAGAGGCATAATATTTGTATATTGTTATTTATTTGGCTGAAACGAACGAACGAACGAATATTTGTATATTATGCCTGAAATTTTCTAAAAAAACATGTTTTACTCATTTATATGTAGAGATAGGCAACATAATAGGCTCTGATAACAGAGGCAGATAAGTGCGGCGTATCACGCCCCCGATCTATTTTTTACTATCGTTGCGTCAATACCAAAAGTCGAAAACGACGTAATGATTATTTAATGCCTTTACTGTATAGTAAAAATAAGATAATGTTAAGTATGATTTAAGGTTTAAAAAATTATACTTTACGCATTCGAATTCATTAAAAACGGACCACCCTCCGGGTGTAGTATTTACGAAGAATGCCAGAAGCGAAATGTTTCACGAAATATATGCAAATTAATGAATTGCGCGAATAAATATAAAAAACGCTTGATAACAGCCCCTTGAAAAAATCGCTTTGGCGTGTTTTTGTATGTATAGATCGTGCCATCCACGAAGACGCGCTCCATCAATTTTTAGTCGAGGGAAGCGCGGGGTGCGGGGAGTGTCATGCGAGCAATCCAAGCGTCATTATTGTAGTGTGCGTGTGCACTCATGGATAATTAGAATTAAGACGTGAACATACGGATGAAGTATTTTTGTTTAAAATTTTAAATGACTACATAGATTTATCCTTCCTTCTCAGCCGAGTGTCATTCAGGTGCCCCAGGCTTAGTGCCCGCTCCAATGCAGTTTTCTCTGTTCCTATTTGTAGAACTAATTATTCAAAGAATAGATTTCTTGTTCGTGCTTGCAACACACATAATGTTCGATACAGTCACATTGATATATTTAATTGTTCACTGCGTGTTTTTACTTCACATGTTAAGAAGGTTGACCACGTTTAAGTGGGATTATTTTGTTTCTGATGAACGAAATTACCTAGTTAAATTACTACGAAACTTTTATAATATGTCTTCGCTATTGACAAATTAACATTGGAAACTTTTTTGGCTTATGAATAAACTAAACTTTTCCTGTACCTCTATGTAATATAAAAGCTGTATGTTTCTTTCATTAAATAAATAAATAATTTGACGTGTACCGTAGTTACATTGGAAGAATGGTGGGGCGCGTCTTCGTGGCTGGAACGATCTACCTAGTTACATCGCTCCGTCAATTTCGAACTTTCACGAATACCTTTGTCTGGGCGAGGTACTTAAACAAACCTATTTCTCTTCTCAGGTCCGCAACAGTGTCTTCGCAGCGTTCATAGACGGGTTCACGAGCAACACCTATGTCATGGTGGAGATGTCTGACCCCAAGATCCCATCCGAAGCCACGCTCATCAACATCAGAAACGCGCGCAAACACTTCGAGAAACTCGAGAAGGTATCCAGCGCGCCGCAGTATCAATGAAGCAATAGCAACTAGTTCGGAATAGCTAATGGTACTCGCTGTAATCGTTAGGCCACTTGCATTTTGAGTTCTGCCTGTATACCATTATAAAAGGACTTGATACTTGTTGGCGACAGATCAGTGCCCCGATCGCGCAAATTTTTAACGTCTCCAATTCATTCGCGCTTCTTCACTAGTTGCGCTCCGTTTTTCATTCCAGCTGAGGTGCAAATTCGGTATCGCGGTAAAGTTCACACTTCACGCGCAAACAAAGACGAAAACGGATTTTATCACTTTCCAATAAAAGTCCAAACATCATATTTTTCACTAAAACACAGCAAATGTTCGTGAAGGCGTTTGATTTGAATTTGAGAAAAAGTACCTAGCTTTCTTTTAGCTTTTACACAAATAATCAGTTGCGTTTTGTTTTCGTTTGAACTAGCTGTCATAGTGACACTGCGATACCAATTTGTGATTTTCGTTCGTCGTCTAGTCGCGTTGTAGTTGAAAATATTTAGCGCAATCGGGGCCCTGGTAACACCGGTGCTCGGACTCTAGCCTAGCGCCGGTGTTACCAGATCTGTCGCCAAAAATAATAGACCCAAAACACATTTAGGTACAAAATTAGGTATGTACCAAAGGGTTAATCACAGGTTCTGATTTAACCTGTTTGTCGTTCGACCATGTGACTGTATGAGACAACTGTAATATACATTTTAAACTTGTGAGATATCTAATTTATGTTGTGCATTACATATTATTTGAAAATAAAATGTATATTTTACAGTCGCTTTCACATGGACTCAGAGGCTCATGCCCATTTTCACCATCAATTCCTAATTTTTAAGTGACCCCTGTGGTAACACAATAGCAGTCATTTTGTTTTCATAGGAGTCACTTAAAAATTAAGAATTGATGAAAAAACGGACATTGTCCGTTTTTGTCCATAGATATGAAGGTATATCAACCGAAAGTTGTTTTTTATTTAACGATTTAGAATTTAAATTCGTTTCATGACATAGAGTAAGAAACGGCATAAAATTCACAAATAATAGAGACAGATCAATTTACTGATTTGAACTTAAAATCAGAGGAATAAACAAAACTCCATCATGAAAGGTGGCATAACGATTAAAAGCGACGATGTTACATCGGAACGTGCTAAGCACAATACTTGCCAAAGCAAGACTTTTGAGCCCACTTGAATACAGATTAACGCGTCTAGGATCATGCGCAGACACGCACAACACAAGGTGAACTGTCTCGGCATATTCTTCAAAGTATTTCAAATATCAAAATATCTTTCTATGAGGTATAGTCAGCGTCAAATAGTTAGTGACACCCAAAATAGCTAAAAAATTCGCAACACTTCTTTGTTACAATTAGAATAAAGGTTGCGTTGTCAACTTTTTGTCCACTTTGAGTGCCACGAACTATTTGACACTGACCGTACATCGTGTAAAACCGTTTCATTTAGAAATAACAAAACATAATCACAAACTAAGCAATACTTGTACAAAAAGAAAAATAACAATATAATAAACTAAATGCTATAATATGTGACTGAGAATATAATTACAGTGACATAACCACAATATTCAACTGATTATGATTGTACACGTAAATATGTGATTGTTAAGTTAATTAATGTTTTGTTTATTTCTACATGTAAGTACACTTAGAATGCCGAATATTGTTGGGAAATCATGGATATGCAGGAGATTCTAAGCAATAAATACCACAGTTGCCTTAATCATCCTTTTCACATTCCAAGTACTTATTTCACGTTTCAATCGAAACTTTCGAATCTGTATTCAATGTCGTGGTTATTCTTAAATTTACGCTCATAGTAGTTAAAGTCTATTATTTGTTCATTAAAATAAAAAAAAGTTTTCTTATGTTTTCTGTTGGTTTGATTATTTCTAAATTTTATAGAGTTTATACTACTATGACATAATAATAGTTAATGACAATTTATGCGGGCTTTAATATAAATAATATGTATATGTCACCGGTTAAATCCGATCTTTGGATTACTTTAACTACTAAAGTAAATACAAAAATAATGCTGCAATCCTGAAAATGTCTATTCGTAGCTTGCTGATCCAAATACAAATTGTAGTTACTTGTGTTACTCAGAAAAAACTTTATTCTGTGCTAAAATCGGGTATAGCCGGTATTTTATGTACCTATAGACGATATCACAGGTGATGTTATAAAATAAGTGTCATCTTTTTATTTACTCAAGGCTCCTAACTCTCAGAGTTACATATTTGTTTCAATATAATCGCAATAACCCTCCTTCTGGCGCAGTCGGGTAAAAATACGCCTTTTGTTGTTAATGTCCATAATACTCCTAATATTTATATTCATTATTGTATTTCACAATTCAAATTTGTTTATGCTGAAACATATTTCTCACGAATTCTTTCTCAGAAAATAAATGTTTCAATTTTAGTTAATGGTGATTATTTATTTCGGATTATTGTTTTGGAGTGGGACCCAGAGTTACTTTTCATAATATTATCTTAGGTATCTTGTTAATAAGTAAGTTCATAGAAACTATAGACTTCGATCGTAGTCGGGTGCTCTTAATTTAACCAGTTAAAAATATTCAGGTTTATTAGTTTGTCACATCTATAAATATGATCGCTGAGCAATGTCACGGGTTGCTCAATCTTCTACGTAATAGCAGTCTGCCGCACGTGATAATGAGTTCAAGGACCAACATTATTTTGAAGTCGATTAGCATTAGACTTGCCACCGTGAAAATGTACCGAAACTATACATTTCACAAAACGTATACGGCATCCTAACGCAGCTGCGTACTCGCATACTGAGAGATAGGTAATCTTAGGGTTAGCAACAGATAGAAGCGCAGTCTCTATGGTTTACTAAATAGAACGTTTATGTGTACGACCTGCGTACATTCCATGCTAGGGACGAGTATGGTATGCCTCGTAAATAGAAAATGCCCTTGCAGTTCCATTCAGGGGAGTGGTCACATTCGAGTAGGTACTAAACTACGTCATGTCATCAATGTAAACAGCACTATCAATTTTATTATACTGTATTGTTGATTGTTACGAGTGACGGTGACGAATAAGTGCGAGGAATGGTGCAACACGTTGATTTATCTATCACTCGGACAGACTTGATACTTGCCCACTTCATAAGCGGTAAATCCTGGCGTTTCTTTGCACACGTCCACACAGAGCACGTAATAATAGCACACGTTTTATAGTGCTTGTATAAAATAGTTTGGTACGTCGAGATCAGTGCTTTTAGAGTTTATTGTGCAATAAGCAAGATCCCTATCTACCGGAACCTAACAAAATTGGTGAGTTTTAATAACTAATTAAAATTATTTGATTGCATTTTGCTGCGCGTTGGTAGCTAATATCATAGAGGTAGATAATTGATTTATTGTTTCTTTTTGTGTCGATAATAACTTACAAGAGATTGTTGTGATACAAAGTGCAAAATATTAGCTACTTTGGTAGAGACGTTTCTCATCTTATAAAATGTGCGGTTGTATTATTTACTTATGAAGTAAAATACCTATACTAGATTTGTATTTTTATCAGGTTGCAACGTCCGAATTGAATTTAAGTAACCTATGGTTACTCAGGTTACTGATAGCATTCAATTTAGATATCTCTGTCTGATGATAACGGATGAAACTCGATGTATTTTGATAATATTAGTCAGTAGTTACTGATAAACCACTGAAACAGTTTGAACGTGATAATTTACAGAACTCGAAGATGGCCGGTGAAAAACCCACATTTGACTACCATGAAGAATCTCATTCTGAAAAATTGGCACGGAAAACAAAGGAATCTCCATTCATGGTCATCGGTAAGTTTGATTTCTTAACTATTACGATAATGTATAACTAAAGGTATAGCACTCATACCAATCCGAAAGGAATCTTTAGACTTATTTATAAGGCAAATATCTCAGAAACTGTAACACCTACAACTTGAAATTTGACAGGTACATAGGTCGCTATAGGGTGTAAGCATCCGCTTAGAACTAATTTTACGAAACTCCACCCCTAAGGGGGTAAAACGGCGTCCACGCGTAGGTACCTACGAAGTGGCGGGCGGCGGGCGGCCGCTATTTGATAAAAGTAAATAATGTTAAATAATACCTAGACTAGTCTGTGGGCTAGACTCAAGCCTCTAGAGCCTATCATAATTACCTACCTATACGGAATTTCACTGTAAAACCAGTCCCTAAATAACTGCACTGATCAAACCCAAAACCAGCATTTGTGGTCTAAATCTAACCACTAATCCATGGAGGTAAAAATATTTAAACTTGGAACAAAAAGGAAATGACAACGCAATTATTTACAGAATCATCGGCGATAGACAAATTATCTATAGGTACTAGCCGATAATGATTACGTTAAAATTCACAATAAGCGTGTTTTTTACAGGAATAGCTGGCCTTGCTACATCCGTCGGATACGGCATCTACAAGTTCAAGCACCGGGGTCAAATGAGCACAAGCGTTTTCCTCATGCAGTTCAGAGTGATCGCTCAGGGGACGGCCGTTGGCGCCCTCACGGCAGGCATGATATACACGCTCTACAATAACCACTTCAATAAGAAGCCAGCCATCTCGGATAAAGTATTACCTACGGCAAATTAATTCTTCTGTGCCTCTGATAGCAAATGCTTCCTAATAATGTAATATCAAATGAAAATGGTTCCTTGCTGTGCTGCTCTCTACTCCCTACAGCTGTGGTTGTATGCAGGTAGTGACGACAGCACATCGAGTAAAATGTGGGTTGTGTGCGTCCAAGTGTACAAAAACGTAGTTACGAGTAAATAGTAACCGCTATATTCTAGGAAGCATTTGGAACGTTCTGTAAACCCCACACATTTGGGGTCTCTTGAGTACTGCCTACCAATTATGTATTCTGACATTCTGTGGTACTAACTAGTACCTAAGTATTATTATTATTTTTAATTAACGAGACGAGGGAAGAGATCTTCTATGATGATAAATGATATATGTGTATTAAGCCAATTAAAACAATGATGTGTCAATTACTTATTTTTATTTTATTGCACTTTTTTTGAAAGCTTAAATTAAAAATGCTAACATTAAATGAAATAATTCTCAATAAATTGCATGTTTGTGATAAAATGTATATCTTCATAGACATTAGGATATCATGGTGTTAAAATACTATAGTGCTAGGTATAGCGAAGTGACTAAAGTAAATAAGTACTTCAAACTTTTTTATTCAATAATTTAAGTTTTCTTTGTTCAAACCTTTAATAATTTATAAATTTTTAGTATCACAATATTTGGGCAATATATAAATCAGTTCATAATGAAATATATTTATTCATTCATATTGTCTTACAGCCTTTTGCGACATTATGGCGCGTGTAGTCATTCATTGTAACTGTGACTTTAATAACATCTTTTTTAGTTATTTTTCTAATGTCTATGACATAGACGCGCTATAGGACGCAACATGGGCTGTGATATTACAACGCTACTGCAATTCCTTTACAAATTGCACATTTAATACTGGTTTATACAGATTCATGTTAATACACAACATTTGTAAAATTATGAGACAATATACAGGATGTGTGTGAACAAACACAACAAAAATTCAATTTCTTAGTGACTGATGGGGAATCTACGGATTGGCAGTAAGGACCCAAAAAGGACATGCTGAATGACTGGAAACTTTGCCAAGACTTCTTTTTTGTACATTTTAATAAGGCCCTGATTTATTTTCAGCCATGAACCAACTGCACTTATGCTCCATAACTGATTAGAATGCTCAGCAAATGGACCAGTTTTAACTTCTTTAATATACTTGATGCATGACAAGAACATATACTCATCAGCATATTTGTCAATAATATCTTCCTCAAGGAACTTCACAGGTGGATAAATTTTTGGCTGGTCGACTAGTTGTGAACTACCCCAAATAAAAGGTATAAATTGATAATCATCCAAACTCCAAACACCATGGCTCCCTGCAGGCTCCATTCTGTATGTTTTTTGTAGTTTCCTTGCTATCTTTATGTATTTGTTGAAAATCATAAAGACTGTTGCTACATTATCATCAGCTTGCAGAGCCCCAATCTTGTACAGACAACATAAAAACATAACAAATGACATCTCATGTCCTGTTCCATAGTCAATTCTAGTTGCATTACCGAAACTTTCTTCTAAGTACACTTTAATTTCTGGGATTGCTAAATGAAGTTTGAGATCTAACATTTCTTGAAGGATCATAGTTGTGTTGCTTTTAATTTTTGCAAGCCATTCTCTAAATGCTGTGTTGCCAAACCTCTGAGGCTGCTCTACAGGAGGAAACTCCTCTATCATCTGTTCAATTTTGTCAAGCATGTCCATAACTTTGTTCACATTTTCAGATACTTTACAATCTACTGATAGGGGTTTTCCTTTTATGGCTTCATTGAGAGTGGCAATAAAGCCAGTATACTCCATGTAAGCTTCGGACTTTTCCCAAATGGCCATGTCTGTGATGGTCTTGACAGCCTTCTCTGGCTCCACGAAGCGGTGGTTGACTGGGAGCGTGGTGGGCACCGGGCCCGCCTCTCTCTGTGTCCCATCTCCTATTACACTCTCAGCATTCATCTAAAACAAAGTGCAAATGTTAATGATTTAATAAGTCTTCTTACAAGTATTTATGATAGTTTTTTGACTTTGTATTCATAGAAATGCATGCAGAAACTAGTAAAAATTTTATTCATAAATTGACAATACTTATTTTTACATTAATTAGGTAGGTAACGTAATTAACGCAAGAATTTTATCATAAACGCTGGTATTTCTAATCCATATCAAATTTTATGATAAATTATTTTATCATTATCTTGTTCCTTACGCGTTATTTACGTACGATGACCCTATTCTTTCGTCCGCACTAAGGTAGTCGTGCTTACGATAAGCTTTGCTAACTGAAGGTCAGAGATGTCAATCTCGAGCCGAGTGCCCTACTATAGACGTGTTTTTCAGTCTTTTTAGAATCGTGATACCAAAATTGCATTTTATTGATGAAAACATAACTTTTAATCAAATATGGAAAAGATACTACGAGGAATCATGAGATATCGAGTTTTAGACCGAGCAAGCATGGTGAAACAATTTCAAGAAGTTAAAGATAACCCGACGGTAAGAAGATTGTGTTCGGCCTTCCTTGCTTTTATTTTCCTTGGATACTGAGTGTGTTTAGCTTTCGGTCAAGAAATATTCTTTCGACTGATTCTTCTACAATTTATAAATTTCTCACCATTTATCAGTAGGTAGATAAATAAACGTTATAATTAATTTGAACGTAATTTGAAACGCAAAAACACAAAATTATTATTTGGATTGACGATGACACTTCGTATTTTTGACAACTGGCATTAGTGTAGTGACAATATTTTTTTTAAAGAGGCAGGTTGCACCGATATGGCTGTTATCAGCAATACTGTTTGCCGTTTCATAATTTATTAACGACTCGTTAGTTTTCATTTAACCAACTGTCCGCGCCTAGTTCCCAAAATTCACCTTGAGATGATTATTACATTACGTATTTTCAGTTGATTAATATAATCATTTTCTTTTGTTAACATGTTTCATTTAGCCAAAAGCTGTCTTCTACACATGCATGGATAGCCGAATGATACCAACACGATTTACAGAAACTAGTGTGGGAGATATGTTCGTTGGTTCGTGTAATTTTATATTAATTTAATCACTTATGTGTTAGTTAGTTACTTCAATAACAATCTTTTAAATATCGTTTTTTGTTATTTCAGTTCGAAATGCGGGAAATGTTATACCCCATTCCCAATATTTTGTCGATGAAATGACTAGTTGCGAACCTGCAGCATTGGAACTTGGTTGTATAGTAAATAATATAAGACATATAATTGTATGTGGACATAGTGACTGTAAGGCTATGAATCTATTATACAAATTAAAGAGTAGAGAAGAATCGAGCAAGGCAAGTGTCAATCTCACAAAAACTTTTTTGTTGGGTATAGTTAATCTACCTACGCGGCTTGCCTACCTACAACATTTATTTTATGTAAGTCAGTGGCGGCGTAGCATGGGTTGGCACCCGGGGCGATCACCCTCCTCCCCCCCCTCCCCGTCACAAGTACTATGGCACCCCCTGGTACCCCCCAGGATTTTGGGGTTACTTATTCGANAGATTTGCCATCCAGATGTGCCTGTGAGTACTAATCTGCGCGACTTGTGTCACCCCCTGATGCTTGGCACCCGGGGCGGACCGCCCACCGCCCCCCCCTTACGCCGCTACTGATGTAAGTTAATATCATTTTCAGGAACAACGAAGGATATCTCCGCTAAAGTCATGGCTATGTTCACATGCAGAATCCAGTCTAAAAAAGTTTCTGGATATGAAAGGTGACTTCTCCAAACCCATGTTATTCACTTCCGAAACCCCTCAGAGGAAGTTTGTTGCATATATTGACCCTGATAACAAATTCAATATAGAAGATAAACTATCTCAGGTAATTTTGTGTGCTATAAATAAAATGAAGTACCTACCTACCTATAGCAAGTCCTTAATGACTTAGCTACTGTACTATTATTTTCTGTTTTGCTCTATTAGTCAAAATCATGTCGGCAATTTATTCCAGGTTAACACACTGCAACAACTACAAAATGTGGCTTCGTATGGGATGCTGAAGAAACGTTTAGAAAAACACGATTTACACATACATGCGTTATGGTTTGATATTTATACTGGCGATATTTACTATTTCAGCAGACGCGCAAAACGCTTTATAATAATCGATGAAAGTTCATACGAATCTATACTAGCTGAAGTAAGGCGATATTATTCCTAGACATAAATCTACTATAGGCGTACGTAACTTTTTATATTTGTTTTCGATTTTTTTACTTTTATAATCGTACCTATAATTAGTCAAAATGTGAGTTCATAACATAGCTGCTTGTCATATTAATACCATTACTAACTGCTTCATGTGGTTGAAATGAATCTCATCGACCAAAGCAGGCCGTTAGTTTTTGCTAAGGAACTCGGAAACCAGGGAAATGTACATAAAATTAATCAAATATCAATGATTATCAATATTCTATATTATATTTAATCTCAAGAACAAAATAAAGTTTACCAAACTTAAAAAGTCAGTAGAAATCAGTTAGTTAAGTAGGTAGGTAGTTTTTATCATTTTACATACTGTAAATTAGTTATGAACTTCGAATAGTTATAGCCATAGGTATATTATTGGTAGGCTTAAAGTATTAATTTACGTAATTTATCTAAATATTTGTACAATACAATAAATAAACCCAGAGACGATAGACAGCTACATTTGGATTCAGAATTTTCTTCGGATATCAATTAAGTAGCTAAATTATTGTCTTAACGCACTGACTTTTGTACCTACAAGCAAACTTTCAAGCTAAACTCTAATTTTAAGGCCATGCTTTATTGTTTTTTTATGTATCCTACTCTCAATAAGTAATGTATAAAATTGGGTTGAATGAATGTCATAAAGCCATGAAGTGGCCCTCCCTATCTCTTGAGAGTTTCTATTGGGTGAAGCGAGAAATGTTATTTGTTGAGAAATATTATTACGGTAATTATGGGACCAATAAATATTAATCATCATGCTATTTTTTTATTTTATTTATTCTGTAGATAGGTACCAAACCACTAATAATTATCTGGATATTTATTTATATATTTTTTTAATATAATGGTCAATAAATAATTCATGAAAACTCTTCTTTGTTATAAATTATTTTTGAAAACCTAAATATTTCTTTAGTAATTTTTTTTTAAACTAAAGGCCCAATTTTTTTAACCGTTATTACATTAACAAATTGTCGAATTATGCAACCAATTTGTCAATTGGTTATTTTAATTACAGATCAAAAACTGGGCCTATGTTAAAAAAAACTAATCTATACGTTAACTATGCCTTAACAACCTGTTAAGTGGTATACCAATTATAGCCTGACCAGGAACATAAAAACCCTCGCCATGTTGCGGTTGCGGAAAACTAATGGNAGACATTGGAGTTGAATATTCAAGTTCTGAATTTGATTATTGATGAATAATAAAATAAATCCTACTAGCTCGATTGATGGTTTATTTAATTTATTTAAACCAGGTTACCTTTAATAATAGTTTTCGTTCATTTATGAAAATATCAAATTAGCCCGTAATCCTGAATCCTGATACATAAATTTAGCCTATTAATTTAACACATGTACGACTGTACTCAGTGTTGCACTATCAAATGCAATTGAAGCGCCTCTATGCCAGGGTTTTTATGTTCCTGGTCAGGCTATAAAGTATTCATTTACGTAATTTATCCTAATATTTGTACAATACAATAAATAAATCCAGAGATGATAGATAGATAGCTAAATACATTTGGATTCAGAATTTTCTTCGGATATCAATTAAGTAGCTAAATCATTGTCTTAACGCACTGACTTTTGTACCTACAAGCACACTTTCAAGCTAAATTCTAATTTTAAGGCCATGCTTTATTGTTTTTTTATGTATCCTACCCTCAATATTGTATAAAATTGGGTTGAATGAATGTCATTCATAAAGCCATGAAGGAAGTGGCTCTCTCTATCTCTCTCGAGAGTTTCTATTGGGTGAAGCGAGAAATGTTATTTGTTGAGAAATATTATTACGGTAATTATGGGACCAATAAATATTAATCATCATGCTATTTTTTTATTTTATTTATTCTGTAGATAGGTACCAAACCACTATTAATGATCTGGATATTCATATTTTATATATTTTTTTTAACATAATGGTAAATAAATAATTCATTGTGGAAAACCTTGGGGGAGGCCTTTGTCCAGCTGTGGACGTCATTTGGCTGAAACAAACGAAATAAATATTTCATGAAAACTCTTCTTTGTTATAAATTATTTTTGAAAACCCAAATATTTCTTTGGTATTTTTTTTAAACTTAAGTCCCAGTTTTTTTTAACCGTTATTACATTAACAAATTGTCGAATTATGCAACCAACAATTTTAATTACAGATACAGCCTTAACAACCTGTTAAGTGGTATACCACCTAACCGGCTATCAAGCGTGTTTTATATTATAGCCGTTGCATTAATTCTAGTATTTTTGAACGAAACGTTTTCAAGGTCATGTCAATACTGTCAATTTGACGTTTTCATCCAAGGTTAAGTGATGAAGGTTGAGGTTAGGAAAAACTTCCATTTGTGATGCAATGTTATAAAAATTATTTCTTACATAATTTTATGAGTTTACCAATCGAAATATTTAATACAGTAAGTAATTAATCACATTAAATTAAATATAGTGTTTAAGATGTTAGCAGCCTTGAGATCTAATTTTGTTCTTGAAAAACCTAGCAAAGTAATTTAAAATATTTTTGTGCCTTGGTAAATTACTTTAAGCCAATTTACACTTGGAGAAGGGTTTCAGATTGCACTTAAAGGCTCAAAGAACTTAATAAAATTTCATCATTATAACAGGAGCAATGGCGAACTCTCAACCAATCTACGAATACAAGGATGAATCTCAAGCTGACAGATTAGCAAGGAAATCTAAGGATTCACCATTTATGATAATGGGTAAGTAATTGTTTTTTACTATTATAGTAAACTGTAATCCTGGAGAATGTACAGGTGACAACAACACATCAAGTGACTGAGCATCCTAAGTACAAAGTTCTAATAAATGTGATTTCACATTACAAAAGAATATGATGATGTGCTTGCTTACTGTAATTAATTGTAGTATATTTTTTTTTTATGTAAAATATATTTATGTCCTCAATTCATACATTGCATAACATTTTGTTTTTTTTTTCTTATGAATTTTGGAAATAACATATCATCAAAAGTTACGGTTTAATCTAATATAATTGTGCATCCAACCCATTTTGGGCATGGTATAGAAGTCACGTCGATTCATAATCACGGCGTGCATGCGTCAGACGCGGCGATCACGCGGCGTTCACGTAGTGAGCATGCGGCGCTCACGTAGGGATCACGCGGTATACACGTCAAGAAAACGCAGAAAAAATGATGATGTTACAGCACTAATCAAACATTTTTTTTTTTCAGGCATAATGGGGTTAATTGGTGTGTGCGGCTGGGGAGCTTACTCATTCAAGAAAAAAGGGAAAATGAGCACCAGTGTCTTTCTAATGCAGTTGAGAGTAGCTGCTCAAGGCACAGTGGTGTCCTGCCTCACAATTGGGCTCGCTTACACTCTGGCCAAAAATCATCTTTTTAAAGATGATAAAAAAGAATAATGACCATACCACCACACCTTTAGGCAAATTTTATGAAAGCAAGTGTAAAGGGTACATGTTTAACATCTTACTGTGTTAAATGTACTGTTTAATAACTTGTACTAAACATAGGACTTGTTTAAAAACATTCTGTCAATGTTATCTTGTGCATTGTCTTTGTATATTATAGTTGTTATTAACACTGAAATGGTAAACATTTCACAGGTAGAAATTATTTCTCACTCATGTTGGAGTCTATGTTATGAAGGATGTTATTTACAATGATTTCATGGTATTTTATAAGCTTAAAATTATTAGGTAGGTATTTATTTTATTTTCTGTGATGTTCATTTATTTCATGAATAATTTTCCATGCCATGAGTAGGTAAAATTTTAAAACAAGAATCTATTCAAATCTCAAGCTAGATTTAAAAACCTGCCCATTGTTTAAATATTTTAAACAACCCATTTTTATAAAAATAGTAATTAAAAATCTCATAATATATCAATATTACAAAAGATAAGCACAAGATCTGAATATCATTAACAAGTAGACTATAAGTTGATGTCTTGTATTATGTTGTGATAATGTGTACATTCATTTGTATTTAAGTTATAGCTAATTTATTGTTTTTAAAAAGAAAAATAATAAATGTTGAAAGAGAAAAGAAAATTTAATTTGACTCACTCAACTTCTATTTATTTATATTTTAAGATTTACGATTATTAGGAGCTTCTTCAGCAATCCACTATGATAAATCCCTTAAGTCGACTCTCTACCTACATGAACCATAGGTTGATTGGTGGATAATGCTTTTATTTAGCAGTGAGACACTCTGCATACTCTCTTTTATGTAATTTATTTAAAACTATTGAACAAATAAAATACAAAGGATGGACATAACGCTCAATGCATTCTCCACCAGTCGACCCAAGGGCCGTGCATCTCTATTCTATTTAAATAATGTCAGTGCAAGCCTCTAGACGGTACCTACCGAATACCGATGCAAACCAGGTACGATCTAATCAGCAGAACTGCAGAATCGGTACATTCAGCAGGACCTATCACAACAGGAGAGTAACTTTTAATAGGAGCTTCTTTCCATCTGAAGTATGGTACACTTACTCATATAACGAAAAAAGTGACGCATCACTGAGGAAGGTGACATTGTACACGTGTTCCTCTGCTCCCGTGATTAATTTTACCTGAGCGGACCATCTGTCCTATCCTACTAATAATATTAAAAATACGAAAGCTTGTCTGGATGTTTGTTACTCTTTCACGCAAAAACTACTGAACGGATTTTGATGATACGACAAACTAAATTTCACGCGTGTGAAGCCGCGGGCAAAAGCAAGTTATAAATATTTATGAAAGTTGGAAAATAAAAGAATTTAAATAAAAAGGACATTGATTTTATTAAACACAAATATACAAAAAAAAAGTCAACTTCTCAATCTTCACAAATATAAAAATAAATAATTTGACAAAAACAAATCACTCGCTTTTGCTACAATCCGAGGCACCTTTCCTCTTTAGACTACAATTAGGAATGGTCAAGTCGTCCTTATCTGAAGTGGAATGATTACGTATGGAGTTGGAAGTTACTTTCACCGAAGACAGGTCGTCTGCGTTACTGAATAGACCATTCGACATGTTAGAGCTGGAGCTCGAATGGTAAGTCATAGATTTAAATAGCTGCACTGGCGTGGAAGTTCGCGCGCGGTTATGCCCACTTGGCAAACTATCCATTGAACGCTCTTCGCGTATAGTTTGAGACAAATGCTTCATTTCTTCAGGAATCTTTGTCTCGAACAGAGACACAAATTCCTCCTCAGTGTCGTTTCTGTGCGACTTATTTGTAAACGTAATTTTTTTGGCAAGTTCATTCGTCAAGAATTCTTTGACGGTCATCGAATTCATGAAGGATGTTTGCTGTTCAGCATTCTTAGAAATTTCAGATGTATGCTTATCTTGCTGTGGCCTTTTTGAGATTTTAGTCGCCGATGACATGGAATCAGTAACCAATGCTGGAATGTCTTGATTGTTCAACCCTTTCAATTTGAACTGCGATAAACTCGAGCTTGACGTATTTGAAGAAGAGGACAAAGCTAAACGCTCCTTGGTTTTCTTTAGCGTCGAAGACGCCCAGCCCATTCCCAGTTTTTTAAAAGCATTTTCCAGATCGGGATTCGAAGATATACTTAACGAATCAGATGTTTCAGATACATTTTCTTTATTTTGAAATACTACACTCGATTTTTTCTTTTCTTTTCGGACTTTTGACAGTGCCAAGACCGACAGTGTAGACTCTGAAGAAACAGTAGTTGAGTTTACAGTATCAAATTTAAATGGTTCAGTAATTATATTTCGTTTTAACAACTCTGCAATTACATCTGGCAAACTTCCATCAGAATGCAATGAACTCATTTCGTCATTTATCAAATCATCTTTTGGATTGTCTTCCAGATTGGACCCGTCATCTAACGCCCCGATATCACATTGTTTTGCAAATTCTTGAATACTTATAAATGGCTTAAGCATTAATTCATTAAACTGTTTCAAATCCATCATTTGTGCCTTGGAATCATCCGAAGAATCAGTCGATGATATTCTTTTGATGGATTGTTTAGGAACATTTACGTTCATGTTATTGCTTTGTAATAAATCAGGATTAACTTGATATTCTGTATCAGTGGGAATCGTCACCAGTTCCTCATTTTCCTTCTGGCTCTTGCTGACATTGTTATTAAATGACGAATCTGGCACGTCATAATTAGTATTATTACGTGATGATTGGTTCTTCAGTTTTACACTCATAGGAGAATCAACTTCGACCACTGTCGAAAGCTCATGAGGAACGATGTCTTGTCCGTTTTTTAAATGAATTCGAGATAGTGCAGGAGGCGGCTTTCCTCTATTTTTCCCAACCAAATTATCTATGTTCGAATTTCCCAACGGCTTAGTTTTTATATTGGTATGGTTTTCAGGGATTGGTTGAGCAGGGTATTTAAATTCAGTAGGTTTAGGAATATTTGTCAAAAAAGGTATATATTCAGATGTGTCTGACAGATCTTTGCTATCATGGTTCTCAGAGGATAGACTCGAAAACTTCGGATCAATTTTATCAGGCAATTCAGGTTTTGAATCAAATTGTTTGGAATCGTGACTACTTTTGGCGGGTTTTTGTTCAGAGTCAGATGCAGTATCCGATGTTGATATTTGACTGTAAGCTAATGATTTGTTTCTTCGGACTTCTTCCAATACTTTGGCAAGGTTGGATAATCTTTTTGTGCATTTTTCCGTCAAATCAGCAATTTTTTCCATATTTTGTAACTTGTCTTCTGCTAATTTCATAAGATTTATTTCTCCATCAAGATCTTGACTGGTTTGTGTGGATATATTTGCAGCAACTTCATCTGATTTAGGGCGTTTCCGCATATTCGTCTCCGATTCTGGAGAAGTGGTGGTAGATTTGTTAAAAGGCAAAATTAATTCGCTTGATTTTGACTGATTTCGATTAATATGCTGCACTTTATTTCTACTGCCGCTACGATTCGTTTTAACAGCGATATCAGTTGGCGTCGAATCCTGCGAGTCTACTTTAGAACTTTTCTGTGGAAATTCAAAATTTGGATACTGCCTAGGAGTAGGTGAACTTTTGCTGCGTGACTTCGTTTTATTAGGTAAAGAGTCCGGTTTTTTAAACACTTCTCTAGCAGATGACGGAGACGAAGTGCTAGGATTTGATTTCATATTTCTGGTTGCAGAGCACTTAGTCTTGCTTTCATTCGATTTTTTTGTGTTTATAAGTCTTTTCGATATATTTAAGGACTTCACTTTATGAACTGATCTCTTTTTTGGCAATTTATACAAACTCGACCTCGGCTTCAGGTTACTGCCTAAAGTTTGTACAGAATTGTTACATGTACTTTCTTTAACATATTCCTCCAATATTTTCTGTTTCAGATCATTCTTTATCTGTTCTAAAGATATTTTATGTTGTATATCCAATTTTTTATCGTTGATATTGGTTGGCACTTCTACAATAGAACTTCCTGGAGTAGTCACTGAACTACATTCTTGATTGGCGACTTCAATTGCTTTAATTCCATCTCTATTTAGTTCTAGTAATCTGTTGATATATTTTTTTATGACAGGATTCAAATCAGATTTATGGATTTTGCTATTTTTGTTTCTGAATGTCGATGCAGTGCTTGAGGTAACACGCATTACTACGTTGTGTGATGAATGTTTGGGTATAGGCACATTAATCTTAGTTTTACTATGACCCTGACGGTTATTTGTGTCGAACTTATGGCATTTCCTGCTATGGATTCTTTGCACTGGGGGGTCAAGTTCATGGACCCATATATCACTGCTATCGTCTTCGTATCTAGCGGTGTTAGGAGGAGTGGTCAAGATCTTATGAGCGCTTCCCGTTTTTCTGCATGGAGCTGATGTTTTATGACATTTGCATCGTTTACTCCTACAATTTTCGTTCTTGCAATTTTCATTCTTTCCTTGCAATTTTTCAGCGCGGGTATTGTAGCCTTGCTTCAGGTATTTCGGCAAGATCATCTCAGGGGGACTCATATACGCTGTCGAAGTAGAAGAACTCATGTGCATGAACACCGGCCTCTGATTTGGAGACTCAATCGAAGTTTGCGTGTACGTTGACGTAGCAGGTCTAGAGATAGGATCTGTTTTGGGCACATGACTAGGGATAGCATATGAAAGTTGACATGTTGTGTAGACACCTTTATCTACATACTTTTTAGAATTGGCTGTTTTATCAACAGGCTCACTAGTTGATTCTGAAGAAACGTGTTCATTGTCATTTCCATCTACTTGAGTTACTGTATGTTTGGGGGCACCATCATTGGTTTTTTTGCTAGAAGGAGTTGGTAAGGGTGATATTTTATCAGCCTGTTTGCCTTGACCTATAATTTCGTCATTTGGATTTATTTCTATCAATTCTGGTATTTCATTTACTGAACAAGTTTCTTTACTTTGTGAAGATACTAGATCTTGATCTTTTGTTTCTTCAACCTTCTCTAGAACGTCCTGTGGATTTTTGCTGGTTTCTTTTTCATTATCTTTTTTTGCTGACTCCTTTTTCCGAAGTTGTATTATGACTTCATACGCGTCATCCCTGAGGAAGCCACTGGCTCCAATGTAGAACTTTCCAGCTTCTTGGCCGTCGTCGTCAACAAGTTTAATGTAACCGCCATCGGGCAGAGCACCTAATGCTTTGTCATTTTTAGCTGTCTTGAACGAGGAAGTCGAGGTAGCAGCCGAAGGTTGGATCTCTGAAGTGTTGTGGTCTCTTGGCTTAGCACCAGCGTTGTCAGCATTACAACCGCATTCGCAGCCCAGGCAATTTGGGTTTCTTTGGAGAAAGAAAATAACCATTTTATAATTATGTAAATGTGGCAAATCATTTTATACCTTACTTTTACGCATTGGAAATGCCTTACTTATTCTGATCTTACGTAAGATACATAGGTTCCAATAAATAAATAGGTGCGATTGTGGTCAAATACCTGCCTTGTTATGAAAAAAAAAAAATTAAGTTGTGCGTACCTTTTTGCCGTTAAATCGCCATTCCCGCAGTGAAGATTAGTACCTGAAAAAAAAAGCGCTGCTATAATATGGGTACTGTTTTAGCCGAGTTTATAGCCCGTATCATATGTAGAGTAGTAATTATAATATTCATGATATTCAAAATAATAAATGAAAATAAATATACCCTTGTCACTCTGCAGGTCGGTTCTTGCTTTTTTGCAACAGCAAGGCCGGCCGTGCTTGAGGTCATCGTCAGTCAACAGTAATTTGCGGGTCTGCTGCGGTTTATCCGAGAAGTATAATGATGTTATGTTGTCCCTGTAAAATTAATTTACAATAAATCTTGGGGAGCTTACATATTGTTGCTTTTGCAGCGATACAACGAGTGCTTTAGAGTCGCGCGACTGCATCGCGATTGGAGCGCTGCATTTAGTAAGTATCGCGTGTGTACAGGTAACTAGATGTTTTGCGATTGCGACTGATCGATGCCGCATCGCGACTGAATCGCGTTTGTATCCCTGCAAGTCGCAATGTAAAAGGGACCTTATGGATTACTACATTTATCATATTACTAACTACATAGATACATTCTAACATACAGGAGGAAATGACAATTTGGAATTGCGGTCTCATAGCTGGGAAGCATTTATAATACTACTATATTTCACAAGAAAGAAAGCTTAACTACTTAATTACAACAAACGTCTCTGCGATTCCTACATCAGCAACAAGATTAATGAACGAAGATATGGTCATCGAAAGGGTTTCACGGCGTAGGCAAACTACCTGTCAGTACTTAATAAAACAATAGTCACCACCACGGCTTGTGCTCGGCTGTAGATTGCCACATCTCTACATTCGCGGTGTAACAGCTCGTGACGTTATAAGACAGTCTGCGGGCCGACATGGAATTAGGATTAAGGAAGGGCAAGGAATTGGTTTTTGTTTACTAAAAACATAAACACTTACCCTTTTTCATTAACCACCTTATAGACACCTGGAATTATGAAAAAAAAACTATTAATTGCCTATTCATTCGTACATAATTATTGAAGTTTTCACTATAATTGAAATATCCTTCCTACCTTCATTAACTTGCTCAAGGGAAACAGTGTTTTGAACACCTATTTCCACCTGTCTGTCATCACAATTGCTAAGTTTTTCTTCTTCATTGTTATTATCATCATTTTCTGTTTTCTTTAATTTATCTTTATTCATTGACCTCAAAACTTTAGATACATCATTTATTAATTTTTGCTTCTTCTTCTTTTTCTCACTCTTGTCTAATTTCGATTCCAAGATCTTGTAAATAATAATTCTATCTGCTTCTGACATTGTTTCATCTGGCTGTTTCTCTCTCTTTCTCTCTAGATTTAAATTTTGTACAGAGCTAGTGTCAGATGAAATGGATGAGCAATCTGTGGAATCATCGTCATCTTTTTGAATCAAAACAGTTTCAACAACCCTCTTGGATGGTCTTTCTGGGTTTGTATCTTTAGTAGGAGGAGTGTGTTTGTGCCGAGATCTATATTCGTGGTAGCTGTCTACTTTGCTGAATTTAACTGTATTGCCAGATTTGGCTTCCTTCAACGAAGTGGGTATTGTATGAATGGCCAGATTCCCGTCGCTCTCTGGGACAGGCATCCAGGAGTACTGTAGATCTCTGGAGTCAAAGTCGTCATCAAAATCGTTTTTTGCCGGAGATTTTGACTTGTGTCTTGACTTTTCTGGTGTAGTCTGTCTAGCTTTTGCATTCTGAAAAAAAAGAAGATTATAATTTTTATCCACATCTAGCACAAAAAAGAGCTGATAAATAATGCCATCAATGTAATTACCTGAGCACAATTCCTTCTGCACTCCTTCTCTATTTTGTTGAACTCATGTTGAAGTTTTTGTTGGCGGCTCACTTTCAAAATATGCTGACGCCTTTCATCCATATGAGCATTGTTCTAAAACAAAAATGTAATTAGTCTTGATTTTAGATTATAAAATACGATACAGTTACGTCCTAACATTATCTACAGTGTTCACATCCAGTTTAAAATGTAATAAATTTAAAAATGTCAACATACCACATGCTTGCTGCACTTTTCTTTAGGCAAAGTCTTCAAAAACGACATTGTGTCATTGTATTCTTTTTCAACAGTTTGTTTGGTCATGGCCACTTTGCTTCTCATTTCTTGTAATTTCCTTTGATGTTCCTTCTCTTTAGAATTGTCAATTTTTGTTTCCTTGAGAGCTTGTGAGTAGGCATCTTCATAATGTTGGTCATCTCTTACTACAAGCCCAGGATCTTCGCAAGGCATCTCTCTGGAATCTCTAGTGGAGTGGTTGTACATTGTGACTGAATTCTTCTTAGTTAAAATACTGTCAACACCACTTGATGCAGTAGATTTCTCAGTATTTCCTTTTCCTGGAATAATAAATACATGACACTTACCAAATTTGTTATTGAAGTAGGAATATGGTAAAACAAAGTTATTGAAGTATGTATATGGTAGGTAGATATGAATGTATACTAAAACTATAAAAAGGTGAAATCATAAGTACACATTTCTATTCTGCATGGAACAAAAAATCTATTTTAAACATCATTATTCACATTGGAAGAAATATACCTACACTACTTATATAAAATTATATCTCAAGAATAACTATGGTTTCCTAATTTCCTTTCATGGCGATAATAAGAGAAATAGTTCTATCCACCAAAGCTTACATACAATACATGGAACATAATATCTTAGCAAAAGAATGATGAAGATTTGAAGAACTAAGGTAATCTAGTATGTTAGTTAGCATGGAAATAAATGTTATCTTATGTTATCTTATCATGATTACAATATTTATGTAATGTTATGCAAATTAATAACCATGAATTTTCCAAAGCAGTGATTGTAAAAGGTAACATACTTTGACACCAATGAAAAATGTTTTATTTTACATTACACAGTCACCTGTATGTTTACAATTTCTCAGGCAAACTTTATTTCTTCTAAATGGGCTACTGCCACGTAAAACTGGGCTGGGCTGTAGCTCACGACGGACAGGTCTAAAGGAGCTAAAAATCTCATTTATTTGGGAGTTAGTGACTGTAAATTGGCTACACTTATGAGGTGGTTTATGGTGCACAATGCTATGAGAGCAAAATTCACAATTGTCCTCAGCTTGCCAAGCTGGCACAGGGATCACTTGCTCATCCAAAACATGGCAAATATTAGAACAAGGCAAAGTACCTTCAATCTTCGAAGACCTGGAACGTAATATTGTTTGCTTCAAGTTCTGTAAGTCATCAGGCTGCCTTTCAGGCTGTTTTTTGCTGGAGCCTGTTGTATCAGTTTCTCGCAGTCTCAGGGCCCTGCTTTGCAAATATTCAGAGACTAAAGTCAAAGAAGGTCTAACTGAAGGTCTTTCTGCTGCTACATGGGTGGTGCCACCTCGTAAGCTTGATGGCATTTCTGCACTCAAAGCGAAGAGATCAAGCTTTTTACTTTTATCAGACTTGCTTTCGGCTGCATTAGCAGAATCTTTTAGGCTTTCTTTGTCATCTTTTGGCAAGGAAAGGGCTGGAATTATGGGCTCCCACTCGTTGGGCAATTCTTCGAAGTCCCATTGAGTTGCCATGTCATTCTTGGTCACTTCAGAGTGCTCTGCATTCAGACTTTCTTTTGCATTACTTTCTACATCAACATGGTTAGTTTCTCCTGTAACTTTGCTTGTAGACGGTTTTGACAACAATTTGTTTGCTACACTGGTTGATTTTTCCCTACTAATTTCATTAGCAGCTTCTCTGAAAATTAAGGTATTTTACTGTAGTTATGTTGGTATTTTATCATTCTGATAAAGTGACCAGCAAAATGAGGCATACAAAATCAAGATAATGTTTTTCTGAAGGGTTTGCTAAATACTATTTACAGTTAGAGGTTAGGTATTGTGCATACCTTGCCAATAGTTTCCTGTCTAGCAGTTTCTTTTGTTCATCTAGTTTGTCCTGTCTCCTTTTCCTTAATTCTGCTGCTGCTTCTTTGCCTCGTACCCTTGACAAGTCTCTTTTGTCTGGTGAAACTTCTACAAAAATAAAAATAAAGCAAAATTAAGACGACTTTAAAAGTGGAAATTAGGTTCTTACAAACATTTTTTATTCTCCAATAAAATTAAACATTTTTAATACTCACAAAATAATATTACTTAGTTAATTTATCTATTTTGACGAAAATTTATTCTAAAGAAGAACGGTCATCTGTGACCCAGGCCCGACAGAAACGAGACATACCTCAGTTTTTTTGTCATGTCTTAATTAGTTAAATTATATATTTTTTATATTCCAAATCCATGTATAACACCAAAATATTACCCTTTGTTTTTGCTCAGGCGTTATACAAAAACTAATACAAAATGCCTATTTATCACCAAAATTGGTAAATGTATGTTCCTAAATGTCTATTACAGCTGCTATGGAATGTATCTAGGTGACCTGGAGATACAGCCGGATTATACAGGGTGGAAACGAGAATTTACAAAATCCAAAAATTCAATGTTACCAGCTTCCATAATCTGTAACCTATTATTGGTACCATTTGAAAGAGCTCGTGAAGCACTTTCAGAATCAGAAACTAGTTTTTCGATATCTTGTATAGTTTAGAAATAATCGAGTAAGATCACTTTTCGTTCCATATGTATAACCACCCTGTATAATCCGGTTGTATCTCCAGGTCACCTAGATACATTCCATAGCAGCTGTAATAGACATTTAGGTACATACATTTACCAATTTTGGTGATAAATAGGCATTTTGTATTAGTTTTTGAATAACGCCTGAACAAAAACAAAGGGTAATATTTTGGTGTTATACATAGATTTCGAATATAAAAAATATATAATTTAACTAATTAAGACATGACAAAAAACTGAGGTATGTCCCGTTTCTGTCGGGTTTGGGTTTTTTTTGTATGGGGCGTGACCGTTCTTCTTTATCTACATACAGGATATTATCATAACTCACCATTTTTGTTGACTTCTGAAGCTTTTTTGTGACCTTCTCCCACACTTTTCACACCTTGTGCATACAAGTGCTCTAATCGTTTTACCAACTTTTCTTGATGTAGTAAATATTCCTTCTCCTTTTTTGAGTCAAGCTCTTGCCGGAATTTGTCTACTTTAGCGCGCTGTCTAAGTTTCTTTGCTATATCTTTCGATTGTTCTCGGACCTAAAAAAACACTCAATAGAGCTTTAGATAACTCGTGAATTTTTATTTGTCTCTATTTAATTTAAATATAAAACCAAACCTGCTGAAGTCTGAGTTTACGTCGGCGTAAAAATTCATTTGTTTTCAAAGACTCAATTTCAGAAGTCATGATGACATGTACACAACACGAACAAAGAGTTTATAACTGTAAATTTCATAGAGATATTTTTTCTACTTATCAATTATATTAAATAACTATGAATATACTATAAAATACAACTTATTTAATAAAACAATAAACTAAAAATGCATTGCGATACGACCACAGATATGGATTAGAGTAGATACAGCAAGTTGATCGTCAAAGCGTGCCATTCCGATATGTCCAAATGGACATACATGGTCGAGTGATGTTCATGTAATCCGATTACAACAATCGGTTACGATGATTTTACGAGAACAGTAGTACGAACACAGTAGAAAGAAGATATTATTTACGGATTGAGAATTGTAATTAACAGCACAAGTAGCAAATAATTAATTAGAATAAAGTAGCAGTAGAAGAAGTATAAAGTAGCATTGTTTTTAATACATATCCTGCGATGTACTCTTAAGAGTTAAAACCATGGTCCCTGTATGTGGTGCACTCATACCGATCCCAAGGAACCGTACTTACTCATAACAATAAGACACACACTGATCCATGTATTCATGCACTTGACTTTATGTCTTGAAACGCTGGTAGGGTAAAAAAAATAACTAGATTTGACGATTTGTAAGTATTACTTTATTTTAAAAAGGTAAATAAAGATGCTTTTAGTTTTGTATTTAACAAATTATCAGTTTTATCGGAATTAATTAATTTTCGAATCGAGTCACACGATATCATTCGATGACTTTGCGAATGCAGTACGATGATACGATTACTTTTACGTTGCGGCAATCACTAAAATTCGCTAAAATGACACTAATGACGTTTAAAAAGTGGCACGCTCGGCTTCATACAATTTTTGACACATGCTGCATCTATCCATATCTGTGGATACGACAAACAATTTCAAGTTCTCAACGACTTTTGTTGTCACGTCTCTCTCACTCACGACATTGACAGCAGCTGTCACAAAGAACATGCGTCATCGTTTTTTTAAGCAAGGGAATTAAGAAATATACAGTTTATTGTTTGTTTTTTATTAATTAATTTCATTATTGTCAAAAATACTACAAAGAAAAAAAAAATGAAATAACATTCAAGTAGGAACAGTGTTGCCAGAAGGTTACTTTTGTAACCTTTTAGGTTACTTTTGAACTGCAGAGGTTACTTTTAGGTTACACTAATGAAAAGGTTACTTTTAGGTGATTTTTCAGAAATTGTAGAATTAACTTTTACAGGTTATTCAGTAAAAAATATTAATAGTGACAATTTAAAAATTATGTCATAAAGTGCATTTATATTTGTTAAAAAAATGAGTTTTAGCGAATGTTTTACGATAATAAAACGCAAATCCATGAAACGTTTTTATACGACTGGTCACTTTTCGAATTTAGATGAATTGTATTCATTTTCCATCCATGAACAACCTTCCACAATCATCGCTGTGATTTCTGACTAGACCCGACTGGCAACACTGAGTAGGAAAAAATAGTGGCCATGACCATAAGAATCGTATCAAACATCAGTCGTCAATAATCGTCATTGCATAAATTGCATTGCCTAGTTGCTTAGATTATTCTAACCATATTTTTAATCCTTTTTTATTTTGAATCCTTTTTTGCATGAGGGTCATAAGGACATGCATGGAGCATGACGTGATGTGGTGAACCCGGTGACATGCCTATTGTATTGTGCCTCAGTAGGTAGGTAATAACCTTAATAACTAAAAGGCGAAAATAAAACCACGCATCTTCAAATGACCATTTATTATTATAGATCATATTAAATCTATATATATAAAAATGAAACCCGTTTCGCGTTGTCACGGCATCACGTGTGAACGGCTGAACCGATTTCGATAATTCTTTTTTTTAAATGTTTGTGGAAGTCCAAGGATGGTTCTTACGGAAAAAAATATTAAGAAAATAGAGAATTCCGTTATAAGAGAACGTAGAGATACGCTAAGGCGGTACGAAGTTCGCCGGGTCAGCTAGTACTTTATAATAAGCCATCCACTAATTGAGTGACAGCGCCACCTCCTTGACCCACATCCAAATTCAGCAGTTTCTGGCCAGCAATAATTAGGCTGAGCAGGTCATCGCCGGTCAGTAAACCTAAATCAATCAAGGCGGGGTCCTGGTTAGATCCAGGATTGGGTGTAGGTCTAGGTTTGGGAATTACAGATCCACCATTTCCACCAGAACCCCCGGCTCCACCCGCTCCTCCCGAGCCGCCAGCCCCGCCAGACCCGCCGGCACCAGCATTTGCCGTCGCCACCAGCGCATTAGCTAAAGTTTTAATTGTGTCCGCAGAAGTGGAATCGTCGCAGGGAGCGACTGCCCTTGCGAGAAGTAGCAAGGCACTCAGGTCGTCAGGCCCGTAGCAAGGCGCAGCCAATGGATAAGGCGGAACTCCTCTGATGGGAGCGACGCGCCCGTAGTATTGAGCTTGGGATACCTAAGAAAAATAAACATTTTGTTCAAATATTTCAATTATGTTTGTCTTTTGTGTCGCATTACTCGTATTAATACTTAGATCTTTGAACTGAACCTCTACTGTTTTCTGTTCCTTGCTTCTATTTAGTAAAATACATAAATAGATTCTTTCTTATCAGATTCACTTACCCCAAGAAGGGCTAAAACAGCAAAAGAAATCAGTTGTAGCGCAGACATCTTTATGAAGGCGACAATAGTATTCGCGTTTATTTATAGGGTGGAAGATTGAACCCATTGCATCACAGCAGTACAGTAAGTAAGTAGTTTGTTGATATTTTGTAAAACCCCTGTATCTTTTAAGGTACAATCACGTACAAACGGTCTCATAGAATTTAAATGGGAGAGATAATATTATCAGGAAAAAGGTAAGTTGTACCTAATACTATACTACCTACTCTGTTAAATACCAAATTTTTAGGCATTAATTAATAGGTAATTAACCTTAACGTATTTAATAGTTTATTGGGGAACTTGCTCCATACTTTCCTTGACTTCGCAAAAATATTGTAGGCTCTCCACTTTTCTAAGCGATTGTACGTGAGAAAATAAGTCACGTACTTATTTAGAAGCACATGGCTGAATGTGTGTCAATGTGTTTAATTGCGACACAAAAACTATCTATCGTTTATTGAAAATAGTTTATCTTTAAATGCTCGATAACCACTAGTTCATGTTTCCTTGTTTTAAAGAGTCGTACTAACTAGGCACTTAGGTAGGTTTAATAAAAATAAAAGTCATGGCTGTATGGATTTTCAATTGAAGTCCTCACAAGAGAAAAGTTAAAGTTCAGAATGGATACTGGACTAAAACAAACGCGTCAGTTGAATCCACGCTATAAAGCAAACATCTTTTCCATCCTAACATTTGGGTAGGTATACTTTTTCTATTATCTGGTACACAAAGTCCTAATTTCTTCAATAGTGATTATTGTACACAGATGGACATTGGAAACATTCAAACTCGGTTACACTCGCGACATCAAGGATGCTGATCTTTATGGACCTTTGCCAGAACATAGATCCGACGTTCTAGGTAATAAAGTACCTACATATTTAAGTACCTACTTTTTATGTATAGGTGATGTCTCGGTGTTTCTTTACGAGATCGAATCAGAAATGAGGAGATCCGTAAACGAACTAAGTCGCTGACATAGCCCAACGGATTAGCCAGCTGAAGGGCAAAGGGCAGGGCACATACTTAGTATGTACACAGAACTGACAGCCGATGGGGCAGCAGTTATGGAGTGGACGCCACGTACCGGAAAGCGTAGCGCAGGACGTCCACCCACAAGGTGGACCGACGACCTCATAAAGCAATTTCTCTCCTCATAATTCAGAAGTGGATGTTCTAAGGCTGAAATGATGATGAGGTGATGTCTCATAGATAACATCTTTAGGTGACGCAGTACAAAAGGCGTGGGAACATGAGGTTGAAAACGTCAATGATAGCGATGGAAATGCCAAGCCAAGTTTATGGAAGGCGCTTATCAAAGTATTTGGACCGGAGCTCTTATTGTACGGGCTTATTCTGGCTGCAATGGAGTTCGTCATAAGGTTACGTTTTCAACCGACTTCAAAAAATACAAAGCTCTTTTGTTTCTCTTAAATACTTTAACTACGATTTTTGTTTCAAAAAGGCTGCAACAACCACTATTTTTGGGCTTGATGTTGCGATACTTCAGTCCTATTCAGGAGCTGCGTAATACAACGTAAGTTTTGAAAAATCACATAGTTGACTGCAATTCTTGAACATGAATGATTTTTCAATTTATTGTAGAGCAAACTTAACGTACGTTGATCGGCTGTTCAACTATTACAACTCAGATGGCAGCGTCTCTTGGGGTGAAGCAGTATTCTTCGCTTTTGGTATTGTTTTCTGCAGCGCTGTCAATGTCATGGTTCAACACCCTTTCATGATGGGGGTGATGCACATTGGTATGAAGATGCGAGTAGGAGTGTGTAGTCTCATTTACAGAAAGGTAAACATACCTACTTATTTCATTCAATAAATGACTCATTACACCATGAAGTTAATGAATGATTGTTAAAACTTTCTCCAGGCTCTAAAGGTCAGCTTGCAAGCGCTTTCCGAAAGCAGTGCCGGCTTGGTGGTAAACCTAATGGCAAATGACGTTAACCGGTTTGATACAGGACCTTTATTTGCCCATTATCTCTGGATTGGGCCTCTGGAAACCATGGCAAGTCGTTAAGTCCATACTATGTTCCCTTAATTATCATAACAGCTACGAGTAGGTATTTATTAATATCTGCGATTTTCAGCTTATGACCGCTTACCTGTATCGTGAAATGGGCATGCCCGCAGTGTATGGTAGTTTGACGATCATTGCTGTTGTACCTTTTCAAAGTAAGCAAATGCATATAGATTTTAAGTTACACCCATGGACAATGGACATGTTGCTTAATTAATTTAATTGATTTAGTTTTCTTGGGGACAAGAACTGCACACTACAGGAAAGGCACAGCCATTAAATCAGACGAGCGAGTCAGGTTGATGAAGGAAATAGTAATGGGAATAGAAGTGATCAAAATGTACACTTGGGAGCAACCATTTCGAAAAATTATTGATTCTGTGCGAAGGTATAACGCTATTGTTAAGTATTTTATTTAACGCTAGATGTGTTTGAGCACTTTCATTTGTTTCTTATTGCATTTCAGAAGTGAAATATACAATATCAAGATGACGTCTTACATCCGCGGAGTCATCATGTCCTTCATAATGTTCTCATCGCGGTTTGGCATCTTCATCACCGTCCTCTTTTACGTTACCTACATAAACCGCATCACCGTGGAAAATGTCTTTTTCCTCACTTGCTACTATAACATCATGAAGCAAACCATGACCTTATACTTTCCTCAGGCCGTTGGACAAGTAAGATATCTTCAAATCAAGTTCCTATTGACAATCATCGCTGTAACAGATACTACGATCACGATAGTAGATTGTAGCTGGACCTCCATTTTTGGTTCCCGAATGACTCGGTTTCGTTAAAGCATAACGCCTGTAGTGTTTTATTATAATAACACAATCTAATACCATATTAATGCCCAAATTCTGATATTTTAGATAGCAGAAATGAATGTAGCTATTCAAAGAATACGGGACTACTTATTGACTGAGGAGTGTCAGTTATCTCCTCGAGAACTAATGGAACCTGGACAAAATGCTTTTAATATTCCTAAGAAAAGGGTGACTATTCGAGGTAGCTATCATTTAATACTATTAAAGTAAAATAAATGAGGTTTAAGATTTACGTAGAAAAATCTATTTACCAGTTGATCCGGTCGAACCTCTGACACCCCGATCTGAAATAGCCGTACCAGCAACCTCCAAGGGAAAACCAAAAGGTAAAGGCTTTCGAATCCTTTTGTGTGGCTCATAACCTGTATGGAATTGAAGTTTAGTATGAAATGTCTGTTTCTATTAGAACCCCGCAAAAACGAGATCGCAATCCAATTTGAAGAAGCCTGCAGTCGCTGGATTAAATCTTCTAGCAAAAACGACGTCGAAGACATAACTCTGAAGGTAATTTCAATAATTTCAAGAAAGGGAACAACTTCTTTTTTTTAGGTCAACAACAATATTAATGTAAATTGTATTTAGATCAAATCTGGTTCATTAACAACTATAATTGGAGCTGTTGGGTCTGGGAAATCAACTATACTCCACATGATCCTTGGTGAATTGCCGTGCTCTAGAGGGACGATGGAAGTTAAGGGAAGTATTAGTTACGCAAGTCAGGATCCATGGCTCTTTGTTGGTAAGCTATGTTTTTAATTTTGAAGAAGTATTAGATACCTAAGGATTGCCGTTAACCATCAACTATCTTATCACAGGTTCCGTTCGCCAGAATATTCTTTTTGGGCAGCCTTTCATAAGATCTCGGTACATAGAAGTATGTAAAGTGTGCGCGTTGGAACGAGATATATCTCTGTTCCCTCACGGAGACAAAACAGTAGTGGGAGAAAGAGGAGTGTCTCTTAGCGGAGGACAACGCGCAAGAATCAACTTGGCGAGAGCCGTTTATAAAGAAGTAACTTAACGTAAACTTATGAGTTGAATAAGGCATAGATTTTTAGTTGAGGATTTTGCTGAGTACGGCAGATTTATGTTACAGGCAGACATCTACTTGTTGGACGACCCACTTTCAGCAGTTGACACGCAAGTGGCTAAACACATATTCGAAAGATGTATCAAAAGGTATTTAAAAGCAAATCTATTTTACAGGATCATAAAATAAATAGTATGCGAACAATGATATTTACTCAGCTCATTGTTTGAATAGATATTTGGAAGATAAAACAGTGGTATTGGTTACACACCAGTTACAATTCATCAAATCCGTTGAGCACATTGTTATAATGGACAAAGGCAAAATACTCGCCGAAGGTGGATTCCAGGAATTGAATGTAATAATTTTTACTATTATTGCGATAAGTTCGAATGTGAAACAAAATATACTAGACGTTGCGGTTACACAATCAATGCTATTACAATAGAAGGTTGATTTGCCTTTAGGAAAAACAGTTGAAGATAATACAACTAATGGTGAGCAACATCCGAGAAGTGCACGAAGATGATGCTACCCCCGGATTGCAAAGCACGTCCATGGTGCAGCCAAGCACAGTCAGCTTGCATCGACGACATTTCTCCTTGGTGTTCAACACCAGTTTTACCGTAAGTCTTTTTAAATTTGATATCCGTTAAAAATGCAATAAGATCAGAGTAGCCTGCTTATGGTATTAGGTACTTTTATTGGAAGATAAGTAAACAGATCGAGATTCCACAACCAAATCTTACGACCATTACATCTGTTTTTTGCTGATCATTCTTCTAGTTACTCCCTATTGGGAAAGTAAAATTCCAACTTTCTTCAGGATCAAAAGCCAGAAGCAGAACTACAAACGATTGGTCGCGTGGACAGCACGGTTTACCGCGACTATTTCATGGCGGGAGCAGCCTGCCCCTACGTCAGTTTGGTGGGCTTCTTATTCCTGCTGGCACAGTTCTGTGCTAGCGCTTGCGATTATTGGATAAGTCGCTGGTAACGTATGAAGAAAAGTTCTTTGACTACGTCATGATGAACAAGGATAAAGGAAAATAAATTTTTTGTTAAAGATTTATTTTGCTATCCAAAGTTAATCTGTTGGTGTGGCTCGATTACTCGAATCCACGACCACAAGCAACAATACCAGAATAACTTTTAGGTCTTTTGGCCGCATAGTTTGGCCCAAATATGTGCTATCCCCGCTAAAAGTAGTCGACGAACTCGCAAATATGCTCGGTGCGCCCCAGCGTCGAACAACTCAATGTTTGAACGTTTTTCAAACATACCCGCATTTAAAATGGCACATAAATGTCTTTAACCATAAATATGAGATTCTGACTAACTTCCTGGTCATAATTGCATTTCCAGCAATTGAAGATGCGTACACCAAAGCAGAGAACAAGAGATTCTTGTAATTGATATGAGTTCTGTAAAATATCTTTGTACTTTTTGCAGGAGTCACGCCGAAGACCGGCTGACAGGAGATCCTACTATGGACAACATCCTCTGGCAAGAACAAGGCTTGTACCGCGAGGACTTTGTGCTCATCTTCGGACTCATCACACTGGCCACGATCATCGTTGCTCTTATAAGAGCTTTTTCCTTTTTCTCTTTGTGCATGAAGTCATCCATAAAGTAAGAATTTGGATTTGCTGCTTTAGCTAAACGTTTTAAAAATACCTAATATATGCAAAGATACACTACATGCTGGTATTGCTGTCATGGGCAATGTTTGCTGTCGCTAGGTACCAGCATTTGCTAACCCGATAAGGACATCCGATCAATATTTACCTACTTGATTTCCGAATAAAGCACTTGACCTTTGCTCGCAAAACGCTACATTACATTTAATTGCTGTATAATGTTCTCAGATTACACGACAAAATGTTCGAATACGTATCTGGATCTCCAATGAGTTTCTTCCATACTAATCCTTCTGGTAGAATTCTTAACCGATTCAGCAAAGATATGGGCTGTGTTGATGAATTACTACCTCAGGCCATGATTGACTGTTTCCAGGTACCCATAATCGTTGATTGGCGTTTAATAATATTTTTACAAACGACTCTACGTAGGTATAACCGAATGCTTATTTCAGATTTTGTTGAATTTACTTGGAGTCATCATTGTAATTTTGATGACAGACATCACTCTATTGATCCCGATAGCCGCAGCACTTATAATTTTCTACATCTTCCGCGTTGTTTACATAAGGACAACGGGTGCTGTTAAACGTTTGGAAGGGATCAGTAAGTTCCACAAAATAAAATTAAAGAGCACTTTAAAATTGGGTACTGTCTATACATTGAAGTGGTTCCGGTAGCATAGAATAGCACCACTCCCATGGCGTCGCAAAAAATGACTTAGGGACAAATATGCGAACATCAGGCCTCCCCAAAACCAGACTGGCCAGCGTGAGAAATGTAGGCCAATTTGACTCTGGTAAATTTAAGGCGATTAAAATAACCAAAAGATAATGACTCACTTGTCCGCCCATGCCACAGTGCGCTTGTATAGGGCAGTCCACTATTAGGGCAAATTCACCGCGGGCAAAATCTGGTAATAAATGATTAATGCCCGTTGACACCATCAATCCCTAATCTAATTTTTAAGTGGGTCACTTAATAATTAGGGATTGATGGTGACAGCGGGCATAAGTTGCTTTGAAATCAAACTCACTCATCCACCTTTACAGCGCGCAGCCCAGTGTTTGGTCACCTCAACGCAAGCGTGCTAGGTCTAGCCACAGTGCGCTCGTTCGGCGCCGAGCTTCTCCTGGCTGCGGAGTTCGACCGCCACCAGGACCTGCACAGCGCGGCCTGGTACCTCTTCATCACCTGCAGCCGCGCCTTCGGCTACTTCCTCGACGTCATCTGCCTGCTGTTCATCGTCTGCGTCACTTTCAGCTGCCTTATGAAGACTGGTTGGAATTTTTTTATGGGATTCAATATTGTAGTTAAAAGTTTGCGATAGATAGTGAGAGCCTCCCCAACCCACCTGGGGATGACTTGCCAAATTCTTCATTTGCCTGCAAGGGAGGGTCTCGATCTTTCAGTAGACTCTAAATACACTTATGATTAAGGCGATCGATAAATTTGGTTTTGATGCGGGTAATTTGAACGAATAACTTACGTTGTCTAGAAATAATAAACAGGGTAAAGTTTTCTTCATTGAATCACATTATTTCAATTATTAGAATAAAGACGATTATGGTCACTGGTAGGCAGGCCCCTCTTTCCCACTGGGCACTTTGGGCACATGCCCAGGGCCGAGGAGGCCCGCATCTGCTCAAAAGACCTTTTTTCAGATGATAAGGGCCTTGATTCTTAAGTGCCCAGTGTGCCCCTAGTAGGTTAAGGACGACCCTGCTGGACGGTTTGGTTATACTGTTTTGAGAACTTAGAGATAAGAATATGAGTACCTACTGTGTTTATCAGATATGGACGGCAGCCACGTAGGCCTGGCCATAACCCAGTCGATATCGTTAACCGGCATCTTCCAATGGGGCATGCGGCAGTCGGCCGAGATGGAGAATCAGATGACCAGCGTGGAAAGAGTTCTAGAATACACCAAGTTAAAGCAAGAGCCTGCGATGAGAGGTGTAAGTAGTAAAGATGCAATGACAGTTTAATTTTCCCCTTGGAAAAACTTGGCCTTCACTGGTTGGGTTTTTAGGCGGTTAAGCTGTAGAACCTCACTACTCACACAGGAGTTGCAGCGGTGGGAACGAAAGGTGGCAATGGTCCTGTAGTGAAGTATCTAGATTTTCACAATATTCTCCTACGTTATTTTCTCTTAAAATGTATATTACCTGTTGCAGTCACCAGAGAACCGACCACCACCTGAATGGCCAACAGAAGGCGCTATAATGTTCGATAACATGAGCTTGAAGTACTCACCAGATGGAATTTACGTATTGCACAAACTGCAGCTAAATATTAGGCCGCAAGAGAAGGTAACACTACAACCCGTACTGTAATCGCACATTGAAAAACTACTTTAATTTTATTAATATAAAATATTTATAATTTTTTAGATTGGTATCGTAGGAAGAACTGGGGCTGGAAAATCATCAGTCATACAAGCTCTGTTTAGATTGGCGTATATTGAAGGCACGATATTGATCGACGGCATCGACATTTCAATGATTGGGTTGCAAGATTTGAGAGAGAAGATATCTATCATTCCACAGGTGAATGTGACTAACTAAAGATTAGTCAAAATAAAGTAGTTTGTCAAGACTTTTGTATAAATTTAAGCGGTTTAAATAATTCTAATTTTTGGGTTCAAGGAACCGGTATTGTTCAGTGGCACGATGAGAAAGAACTTGGACCCTTTCGATGAGTACCCTGACGAAACGCTGCTTCGCGCTCTCGCAAACGTAGAACTACAATCTGATGATGGAAGCGTTGGTAATTACGCCAAAAATCTTATAAAAATAAAAAAGTAAATTCATAGAAATACATAGATAGCGAGAACATTGAAGAGCAGGGTAAGGTTGTTTTCACGAAGCCATTTAGGAAATAACGAACTCCCTGTAAACCTAGAAGTCTAAATTTTAATTGCTCAAAAGAGCATAAGATATCTAAATGTATTCCTTAATCGCATTCAATTTGTACCTGTACTTCAAGAACTATTCGAAGTCAAAGTTCCTTAAATGAAGATTGATCCTAAATGTTCCAGATGATTTAAACAAGCAAGTGTCCGAAGGCGGTTCGAACTTTAGCGTGGGCGAGCGTCAANGGTAGAATTCTTAACCGATTCAGCAAAGATATGGGCTCTGTTGATGAATTACTACCTCAGGCCATGATTGACTGTTTCCAGGTACACAGATCGTTGATTGGCGTTAAATATTGTTCATATCGACAAATCTAATTGAATGGTTATTTCAGATTTTGTTGAATTTACTTGGAGTTATCATTGTAATTTTAATGACGGACATCACTTTACTGATTCCGATAGCTGCAGCACTTATAATTTTCTACATCTTCCGCGTTGTTTACATAAGAACAACGGGTGCTGTTAAACGTTTGGAAGGAATCAGTAAGTTTCACATAATAAAATTAAAGAGCGCTTTAAAATTGGGTACCTACAGTCTATACATTGAAGTGGTTTGGGTAGCATAGAATAGCAACACTCCCAAGGACATCGCAAAAGATGACTTAGGGACAAATATGCGAACATCAGGCCTCCACAAAACCAGACTGGCCAGCGTGAGAAATGGAGGCTAATTTGACTCTGGTAAATTAAAGGCGGTTAAAACTAATATGTTTTATGTCATTGGGTTAAAATAATTCAGGTGGGGCTGAACGAGAGAGTGCTAAAGTCTGGCCACAGTGAGCTTGTATTAGGGCAGTCCACTATTAGGGCAAATTCACCGTGGGCAAAATCTAGTAATAAATGTTAATGCCCATTGACACCATCAATCCCAAATTTTTAAGTGACCCGAAAACAAAATGCCTGTTATAAATAAGTTACCATAGGGGTCACTTAAAAATTAGGGATTGATGGTGACAACGGGCATAAGTTGCTTTTGAAATCAAACTCACTCATCCACCTTCACAGCCCGCAGCCCAGTGTTCGGTCACCTGAACGCGAGCGTTCTCGGTCTGGCCACGGTGCGCTCATTCGGTGCCGAGCTTCTCCTGGCTGCGGAGTTCGACCGGCACCAGGACCTGCACAGCGCGGCCTGGTACCTCTTCATCACGTGCAGCCGCGCCTTCGGCTACTTCCTCGACGTCATCTGCCTGCTGTTCATCGTCTGCGTCACTTTCAGCTGCCTTATGAAGACTGGTTAGTCTTGGGATTGGCAAAAAGTATAGAAAAGTTTGAGATAGATATAAGAGTGATCGAGCCTCACTACCTAACCCAGATTGGAAACTGGGAAGTGTTGGCGAAATTCTCAATTTCAACTAGGCAAATCCTGATTAGAAAAGGTCGTTATTCTACAGAAAAGTGATCGATAAAGTTGGTATCAATGCGGGTTCTTTAAACTAGTATGTCATCAAGAAATAACCAAGGTTTAACTACCTTCATTAAATCTCAAGAGGGATTAATAAATTAGAAATAGAGGAGTCAGCTTCAGTTAAATCTTCCAATTATTAGGAAAAAGACAATTATGGTGACAATAGTTATACTGTTTTGAGAAAAAGAAATGAAATTAATAAGAAGAGTACCATTTTTCTCAGACATGGATGGCAGCCACGTCGGCCTGGCCATAACCCAGTCGATATCTTTGACCGGCATCTTCCAATGGGGCATGCGGCAGTCGGCCGAGATGGAGAATCAGATGACCAGCGTGGAACGAGTTCTAGAATACACCAAGCTGAAGCAAGAGCCGGCGATGAGGGGTGTAAGTAGTAAAGGTGCAATTACAGTTGTCTAATTGTCCCCTTGGAAAAACTTGGTATTCACTGGTCGGGTTTTTAGGCGGTCAAGCTGTAGATCTTGGCTACACAAGAGTTGCAGCGGTGGGTACGAGATGTGGCAATACTGGCAATGGTCCCGTAGAGAAGTGTCTAGAATAATTCTCTTAAAATATTGTTTCCCTTTATTCTGTTACAGTCACCAGAGAACCGACCACCACCTGAATGGCCAACAGAAGGCGCTATATTTTTCGATAACATGAGTTTGAAATATTCACCAGAGGGAAATTATGTATTGCACAAACTGCAGCTAAATATTAGGCCGCAAGAGAAGGTACACTACAACCGTACTGTAAACACACATTGGGAAAAGTAATAACTTTAAAATTAACTAACATTTTTCAGATTGGTATCGTAGGCAGAACTGGGGCTGGAAAATCATCAGTCATACAAGCTCTGTTTAGATTGGCGTATATTGAAGGCACGATATTGATCGACGGCATCGACATTTCAATGATTGGGTTGCAAGATTTGAGAGAGAAGATTTCAATCATTCCACAGGTAAAAGTGACTTATCTAAAATTTAGTCCAATTATTATGTAGTTTGTCAAGACTTTCGTATCAATTTAAGCGGTTTAAATAACCGAAATTGTATTGATTATAAGTTGGTTTTAGGAACCGGTATTGTTTAGTGGCACGATGAGAAAAAACTTGGACCCTTTCGATGAGTACCCTGACGAAACGCTGCTTCGCGCTCTCGCAAACGTAGAACTACAATCTGATGATGGAAGCGTTGGTAATTACGCCAAAAATGTTATGAAAATAAAGATACAAAAGTAAATTCATAGAAATCCATAGATAGCGAGATCATTGAAGAGCAGGATAAGGTTGTTTTCACGAAGCCATTTAGGAAATAACGAACTCCCTGTAAATCTAGAAGTCTAAATTTTAATTGCTCCAAAGAGCATAAGATATCTAAATGAAGGCATTCAATTTGTACCTGTAATTCAAAAACTATTCTAAGTTAGTTCCTAAGATGAAGATTCATCCTAAATGTTCCAGATGATTTATACAAGCAAGTGTCCGAAGGTGGTTCAAACTTCAGCGTGGGAGAGCGTCAGNAGCGTCAACTAGTGTGCCTAGCGCGGGCCATCGTCCATAACAATCGCATCCTGGTGCTGGACGAAGCCACCGCCAATGTTGATGCAGAGACCGACGCGCTCATTCAGACGGCCATCAGGGAACACTTTAGCAACTGCACTGTGCTCACTATTGCGCATCGGTTGAACACTGTTATTGACTCGGATAAGGTAATCAAATAATATTTAGGTTAGATTTTAGCTAGATGCCCTAATCTATATACAGGGTGTTAGGTAAATGGGTATATGAGCCGACACTAGCCCATGTTAACATATGCATATAAATGGTATGGTGAAGTCAGAAATTTGATATCATCATTTTAATTTTTTAAATGTTCATACAAAATAAAATTTATAAAATCAGATTTATATCAAGTAACTCAAGAACGGCTGAACCGATTTAGCTGAAAATTGTCAGGGAGGTAGTTTAGAGCCAGGAGAAGGACATAGGATAGGATACCCTCTGGACACGTGGTCCGACTGCTTTGTCCGACTAATCGGACCACGTGAACTTATTTTTCCTGTTGGTTCGATTAAGGAATCGGACTATCAAGACTTTCTGTTCTTAAGGTTACATGGTCCGACCTGTAACCGCCCAACCTATTTGAAAGAAAGAAAGAAAGATACATTCATTCTTTCATTAACTCAACACTATTTAATTGCATTTTCTTGATTGAAAAACTATAACAGACCTATTCCTTTTAGTTCAAATCAAAGTTTAACTGAGTTGAACTTTCAGGAAAAAAATTCCATAGCTTCAATATTTTTTCTAGAAATTTGAAATAAACGGAATATATTTTCCTAAAAATTCAACTATAATAAATCTATTGAATATTTTTGATAGATTTTTAGGCTAGTTACCTAAAAAAATTTTTTTCGTCCGTCAATTTTAATATAAAAAAATATTGGACTTGAATCATATATTTGCCAATCAAACAAATAATTACAAAGTTATAGTGCGTTGAATTTCCGCGTGACGTCACAAAGTGCAGCACTTTTACGCACTCACTGACGTCACGGGCCTTTTCTTTAGAACTTTGGCACGCTTTATCTCTTTACATTTTCATTGGTTTTAAAAAGTGAAAAATAGGTGTCGAGTATTTTTTGATAAGCTAACTGACGGACTAATTAACTAAAAACTATAATCCGGGCCTCTTCAAGGCGAGAGTAAATAAGCATTTACAGGGCAGATATGTACCATCCTAGACTGCATCCCACTTAACATCAGGTGCGATTGTGGTCAAATACCTGCCTTGCTATGCATAAAAAAAAACTTGCTTTTTACCCAGAAAACATCCCTATTGAAAATTTGGAAAACAAATGAATACCTACCTACATACTCAATACTCAATAGTTTATTGCTTCCATAATGTTTACAAAATGTGTTATTGGTACCTACTTATCTATAATAATATAAACATTTCGGAAATGTTTATAAAAAAAATCCGTGTATTTCAACTTCCTTGAAAGATTACTTAGGAAAGTTGACTTTACGGTTTTTTTTCCTGAACGTTCAATTAAGTTGAACTTTGAATTGAACTAAATGGAGGTCGTTTTACATTGAATGAAACAATATTTAATAAAAATATTTATACCTTTACATATTTGTATTATTTATTAGCTCTTCGAGGAAGCTCTTGTTATTATTATGACCAAAGAGCATCGCATTGGTAGTTAATATGAAATTGTCACGAGAAATAGTTTCCATGGATCGATTTTGTTGCATACCACCCTGAATTTATTTCAAGTCCGATTAGTCGGACGAAGTGGAATTGCGATTCCTTGTAGTCCGATTAATCGAACCAACAGGAAAAAAAAGTTCACGTGGTCCGATTAATCGGACAAAGCAGTCGGACCACGTGTCCAGAGGGATAGGATAGGACTTTTTATCCCGTTCGAAATTAAAAAAAAAGTCTGCTTATTTATTGCCATTAAGGCCGAACAAAGTTCGCCGGGTCAGCTAGTAATAAAATAATGAAATCGTAACTAAAGCGACTAGCAATGAAACAAAAACAGAAAACTATTACAATACAAAATTACTAAAGTACTCGTACAGTATGAAGATCAAAATAACTTCCCCTTCTATGACGGATCACTGCTACACCAGGCCTCAGAGGCCTTTTACCTCTGGTTCTGTTCCTGCAGTGGAGGCTAAATTATCTGATAATGACGATAATCACTATTCAAATAAAGACCGACAAATTAGAGTAGGGATACATTTGTCCCTGTGAATACTAGGCTTAACAACCTTATTTTTCTGGCAGATCCTCGTGCTAGACGCAGGAAGACTGATGGAGTTCGCTCACCCGCACATCCTACTGCAGAACAAGAAAGGCTACTTCCGCAAGATGGTCGCCGAGACCGGCCCCGCCATGGCTCCTATACTGCACAAAATGGCCGCTGATGTACGTGCCTCTTTATACTAAGACATAATATCGCCGTTTTCACTAACTAGTTTGTTCGCTATAAGATGATGCGGATGAAACATGTCATTCAAATTTCGCCTACTGTAGTTTTTAAAGTTTTAGTAATTAAAGGTAATTAGTGATGATAAAATCTACGCAAGGCGTACTTTATTGCTAGGAGCAGCGCAAGGATAACTACAAACAGCATAAAACTGTATCCTGCACCAATCCTCTACCGCAAGGATCTACTAAATAGTAATAATTATGCGCAGTTCTTGTTACTAAATAACTGATACTCCATTTAGATATTTTACGTTGTTGTAACACTTTATCTATTTACATTTATAATTCTTTTGTTTGTTTATTTTCAGAGCTACAAGAACTTACAAGAAAGTTAATGAAAACCAACGAGTTATTTAAAATATTTTATATTGAGTATATTTTTATAAATAGATTTCTTAAATATAATACTTTCAACAATAATAATAAGTTTATTAACTTAAAGTATCGAATACAAAATAAGCAATTTCCCGATTGACAGCACCATTTTACGCCTTAAATTAAAACCTTTTTAATTTATACTGTTTCCATGTTGCAGTTCAAACTGGCTAACTGTAGTTCCATCCTCTTTTTGAATCCGTGTATCAGTTCGTCCATCCGCCTAATAAACAATAATCAACATGTGAGACGTCATGAATTTAATAGCTTTAATACATTTTTTAGCCGAAAACGTAAATATAATACTCACTTTTTATCCTCTTCAGTCTCTAAGGGCGGGATTCCAGCTAACGCCTCCATCAGATAATTTCTGAAACAAAATTGAAGAGATATAATTAATTATGTGTAAATTCATACACTATCTACATCCATGCAAAACCGGTGGCAAAATATGCCAATAGCCACCGCGCAATCACGTATGCGCTCTAGCACAGATTAGTTAATAATAAATTACTCCGTCGCATTTCCCAGTCAGTGTGCTGGTCACTAACAAAAATAAAATAAAAACCTCCTTCTTTGCTCAAATAAGAACAACGCTATAAAAACAACTTGTTTTGCTTTTTAATAAAATTCATATTCTAGATTTCCCAACGAGTGTAGATATAATCAGTCTGGCACACAGTAGTGTCCCGCTATAGGCAAAGGTAGAGTCCCGCTATACTGTGATGTGTGCATATTTTATGGTAGTGTCCCGCCGTGCGCATACGGTAGTGTCCCAATGTGAGCACACAGTAGCGTCCCGTTGTGCACATGCTAGTTTTACTACAGTAGTTGTTGTAATTCACGAAGGCGAGTGAGCTTTACATGTGTGGTAGCTCGCTACTGTTCGTTTTTCAAAAGTTTTGTTAGACACTATCGTTATGTGCATGTACACGTACACACACACAAGTAAAGCTCACTCGCCTTCGTGAGTTGCAGGAACTATCACAGAATAATAATAAGTACTACGTACAGAAGTTTTACTTCGCGAAGGTATTTAAAAAAATGTATGCTCAATGTCATTAACAATATGGTGTAATTTAGCTTGTCTCAAGAGTCAAGCACCATTTTGTTGACAAACGTCAGTGATCGGCACTGCGCCGAAGCTATAGAGCTGACTTCGGTAAAATCAGTGACGTGAGGTGCCAAACTGCGGAAAATGGCGGAGGAAATACATGATTTAGCATGAATTATCATGAATAATATTAACTACTTATTTACCTCTCAGTGTCTTGAGGCAACTTAAAAAAGTACATTCTGTGTTTTTATTATTATTTAGGCAGTTAAATACTGGACAGTATTTAGTACACCATTTTCTTTATTTTCTTCCATCATACACAAGAATACGCGTGCGTGAGTCAATGTTCGCTCGTATGTGAGGCCTTGTCGAATAGTATCCTGTAGGTGGGCAATCGTGCGTGTTTTGTTTTCGATGTAAACTCGCGGAGATGAACAGGCCTGGAATCAATGATATTATATAAAAACAAAAGCAGATATGTTATAAGCGCTCGCGCTGTGAATACTCAAATACGTCCCAATTGGGACGTCTTGTGTTTAGTCTTCGTGTGGCCAGCGTCGTGCGCAATCGCGTGCGTACCACACCGTAAGTTCCTGTGTTCTTACCAAAATAAATAAAAAATGCCATCGTGTGTGTACCAATTATGACTCTAAAGTAAACAAAATACAAGGGATCTCTTACCACATGTGATTATGCAAAATTATTTAGTATTTATATTTTCAATTATTTATGCAAACAATCAAGACGCCATCGCGTCATGCGCCATGTTCAAGTTAAGAAAGAGAAAGCGATCTTGTTTTGACGTTAGAGCGATAAGGATGCGTGCGCTGCGGACATAGATTAGTTAGTGCAGAATCGTTAAAACTATAGCTATCTATTTCATTTGCGTGCTATTTCGTATCTTTTGTTTCACTTATCAGTTACATTTGTCAATGTGTGCAATTTGGAATAGCACGGCACGGATTAAAATCGTAATTTCTATGAACGTAACATATCTATAGTTCTGTAATATCATTGCCTGGAACTATACTCACTCGGCCTTCCGCGTGAGGTGCTCAGCGGCGGCGGCCTGCAGCAGCGAGTACTCGAGGCGCGCCTGGAAGGCGGCGGCGCGGGACAGCGGCGCGGGCGCGCACGCCGCCAGCCGCGCCAGCTCCTCGCACACCGTCTCGCAGATGTCCCGCACGTAGCGGGACGATGCAGCTCCACAGACGCTGTCCACCTGTGAAAATGTTAGTCATCGTCAGGTCATTTAGTCTCCACTGCAAGAACACGACTCCATTTGTGTCACTCTTGATAAAAACTAATTTATTTTTGCAAGCTTTTAAAAAGCACTTTTATACGTTCCAGTATTCTTTAACCCTGCCACTTGACTGCTTGGGGACAATAAAAGGGCCAGTGCTGAGAAAAAACAGCGCAAGAAACTCGGTCACTATTACGGTAATAAAAATTCTTCATCATCATGAACAATGATTTTTGTGCCAGTCACCTCAATTCACCACTTACAAATTCATTCTTGATGAATAATTCTATTGGGGAATAAAACCCATTTTGATTATGAATATTCCAAAGGCAAACAAGTCATCATCACGCACAATGCTATTGAGATTTGAGACCAAGTCAAAGCAAATAATCTATGACGTTTTCTTCTTAACTACAAAGGGCAAGATAATAAAAGTTTCTTGGGCCTTTACGGCCGTTCAAAAATTGCCATAGCGGACGGTATTTCACGTCCACACGGCGGGGTATTGGTAAAGTTTTCAACTAGCAATAATCGCACCTCGGATTAACCTCATTGGTTACGATATTGCCTCTGCGCAAAGTTAACTTATGAGATTCTCACCGGGGATCTTAAAGAATCGGAAAAAAACAAATCAAACCGCGATCTAAAGTCGTACAGCGCCATCTGTTGACATTTTGGAAAATTAAAAACGAAGTGTCAACAGATGGCGCTGTACGATAGTTCCCAGCATTTAGGTATTGTAGCAAAGATGATAACCTCATAAATATTTATTTTTAAATTATTTTGATTTAAACTTTACAAAACTTTCTTTTTTTTCTTCAGATGTATCAATGTATTAAAAAAAACACGAAAGAGTTCATGAAGTTCTCAATAATGGTCAAATAAAAAGTAGTGTAAGTGGCTCTGTTGACAAACTGATTTGAATTTAGAATGTTCTTAAAATACTTCGGCCTGCACAGCAATACCAGTGCGTCGGAGTGCATTTTATGGCGGTCCATTATTCCAAATGTCAAATTTATTTGAATTTCGAATGTATTATTTTAAATTAAGAATAAAAAACATACCTCAGCGTGCACAGCAATGAGGTTGTTGATGATCTCGTAGACGTAGGGTCTTGCGTCGTCAACCATTGTATCAGGGTCCAGCTTGTGGCGGCCCATATACATGCTGGGCTCGATAGTGCCCACTAGTGGGTCGCCCTTGTGCTCGAGGTACGTTTCAGCGATATTGGCTTCCAGACTGGTGAGCGCGTCCTTGGTAGCTTGTATGGCTTGCACTGGTTTCGGGAAGCCGTAGCTGTGGATTTTTTTTTTTTAGAAAATGTACATGTTTGAAAAAATCATTGTGTGGGTAATTTTGTGGTCTGTTTTGTTCAGTGTTATAAATGGAAAAATTAGTCTGTTATAAAGGTGGTAGATTTTTTAAAATGTATATTTACATTTTTTTCTCCTTGGCACAAAAACATAATATTTTTCTGTGAAGACATAATGTCAAAAACATTTGCCTACATAAATTGACAAGTATTTTTAGCCTCAGCTGTGTAACTTGGTCATTAGTCATCAATAAATGCCCCAAAAATATCCGCGCAGTCTGTGTAAATTGGCCAATAAATAACCCCCCTAGTAACAAAAAGTTATACACTTGTTGAACACTTCTAAAATGTCATTTCCATACTAAACATCTCCTTAAATCACTGTTCAACGAGCGTGATCAGTAAGGGTGTAAATGTCTAATGCCCGTTTTTACCATCAAACCCTAATTTTTAATGGCCCCCGCTGCTGCTCGGCTCCCGTCTAGAGGCTGGTCTAGTGCACTCACTCCACGAAGGCCTGCGCGAGGCGCGGCAGCTGGGCGCGGCGCGTGTAGTGCGCGTTGGCGCCGGCGATGAGCAGGCGCTGCTGCCACGTGCGCCCGCCCGCCGTCGCCGTCGCGCCCGCCGCTGCTCGGCTCTCATCCAATGGCTGGTCTAGCGCCACAGACAGGCTCGTGTTGTTGAAGTCCTGGAATGGGGACACAGTTGGTTAGCCTCAGGCTGGTTTTAGTGTCACGCGGGCTGTCAGTGCGGATCGCTCCGCACAACCGATCTGTATGAACTGCTAGGGAGCGGACGGTCCGCGTGACACTAAAACCAGCCTAAGACAAGTGTAGTACCGGACGAGCTGTAAAAGCTACCGGAAAAAAAGAGCGCAGGCGTGCGCCAGTTAATTAAAATAACATCAAATCTAGGTCAAACGAATAAGCTGCTAATCTTATCGGAGTAGTGGTTCAGGGCTTAATAGCAGAGCAGGTATTCGAGGAGTAGTGGCTCAATTTCTCGGAGTAGTGGCTCAATGCAGTCCTGGATCTGTCAATAGGCCGTATAGGCCGCGGCCTAGGGGCGGCAGATTTCAGATGACGCTTACTCGATTTCAGAAGATAAAAGTTACATAAAGATCCAACCCCACCCTAGCCTACGGGCGGCAAATCCGCCACTGGCTCAATGTCTATCTTGAAAGAAGCCCCCCAAAAGATACTGCACTTCCTAATGGATGCAGGACTCGGAGGCGAACTGTAAGGAAAACAGCGGCGATCACAATAGATCGATAACGGTCGCAGTGATACTAGGACTTTATTGAACTAGAATAGCCGGTCAACACAAAAAAAAAAATGTCTATCTTAGCTGAGCATCTGTTCCGAGTTGTGGTCTTCTACTCGTACCTGGTCGGCGTCGTGGTTGAGCGCCAGTTCCCGCAGCACGGCCACGAAGGCCAGCAGTATGTTCTGCGCGTGTCGCTGCGCCAGCGCCGCCGGTTCAGCGCTCAGCAGCGCCGCCTCGCGCCGCCCGCTGGTCAACACGCACTTGTTGATCGACGCCAGCGCCTCTGTCATGTAGGTTTCGAGTAGGTAAGGC